CCCGAAAGCAAGGCCTTGATCCATTTTCCAGGAGTCTTTCCCATCGCGGCAGAGATCAGGGCTTCAGAAACTACAGAAATCAAGTATCGAAATCAGAAAGCACTTCAAACAACTAAGGCTGACGTACTTTCCGTCAACTAAGGTTTCACTTAAACGAACAACCAAACATTGAATAAAAACAAATAGGAGAAATGATAAATAGCCAATACATTACCATCTTCAATTTAAAACAAAAATAACGGAAATAGGAGTGCAGGACCATAAACTTCCAGCTCAGTAGCTGTTATGTGCAGAATAAACTGAAAAATCCAAAGTCAATTCCACCACATCTTTTTTTCAATACCGCCAAAGAACTAAGTCAAATGAGCTGATATATAAGCCCTAGGAAGACAACTATTTCCACACAGTACCAATAAATTGGTATTTTTCTGCAAACAAACAAAGCAATAAACAAAACCCAACCTGAAAATGTAAAAAGACAACCTGAGTTTTGGATATCAAACCGCTTAATCCAAGCTGGGGTATAAAACGACTCAGGAAAGAGGCTAGATCACAGCACAACCTCCAAATGCAGCAGCGGAACCCTAAGCTTCCATTGCTGAAGAACCGGGGAAAAAAAAGATGAAGAAGAAACGAAGCAACAATTCAACAAAAAAGATTGCGAATCACGTAATGAAAGATGGAGTGAAGAAAAATATGAAGACCAAGACAAAAGTATATCTGAAAGAAGTTAGATTAATTCACCACCTTTGTGAGGATGCAGCTCAGAGCAGAGTTTGAGCTTTGGGGGAAAGTTTGGATTTTTACTCGCCGCAGACTGTAGGCAGCAGTAAGTCCCCTGAATTAGCGCAATAGATTTTTTTTTTTTTTTGGGTCAAGAATTAGCGCAATAGATTAGATACCTTGCACGAGGCTGACCCCTTGAAGAAATTGGATAGACCCTGCCCCTCTTATTAACGGCATAATCGATAATTGATGTGAATATTTTTTTCCTCCCTCCCTCCTATTTTAACTCTTGTCTGAAACACAATAAAGGGCACTGATTATACGTTAAAAATAAAGTTATAAAATCACAATAAAAATTACACAAATTAATTTTACTAAAATGACAGTTAATGTGAGATAATAAAATTCTATTTAGCTTGTATTATTTTTTTTTACCAGCATTTAGTTTGTACTCGTATTAATTTGACCCTTCAAACTTAATTTTTATTAATCAAACTCCTAAAGTTGTATACATATATTATATGTTGGCAAAAAAGATACACATGTTATATATTTTTATTTGATCTCATAAGACGAGGGATTTTTTTTCTATAGTGAATGATTAGATCGTATGTATGTTTATGAGTGTGTGTTTTTAAATCATAAGAATTAGTTATGTATGATTTAAAAGGTTAGCGATTAGTAAAAATCAAACTTCAAGAATTGAATTGATAACTAAAACAACTTTAAAGGATAATACATCCATTTTTCTTCTATGCATCATCCCTCTAGAGAGATCATGATTTAATTATAGGAGAATTATAGTAAAAAACCAAATATATAAATTAACTATTAAGAACGCATTCAAATTCATAAGAAAAATTTAATATAAAAATTTAACAAGCAAAAAAGAAGAAGAAGAAAAGAAATGTTATATTTAAAACTAAAACTAATTTCTTAAACGAATGCTACCTCCGATACTAATTATACTATATGGTTTGTAAACTATAAATAAAGTCTTATAATTAGATCGAAATAGTATATTATATTAGCACATGAAGAAAGGGTAGCATAATTTATCTACAATTGAAGCTTATAATGGGAGAACCACTTGTCTGTGGGTTCAACGGGTGAAGGGATCGGACACACTTATTGAGGGATTGGGTTCGATTATGGAGCACATCGTGGCGTTTGTATCTTCAAAGCCAATGTCTTAGCTCGTAACATGTGATGATCCCCCAAGTGTAGCTCTTTCTATCTCAGTTACTACAATAATGGGTAGGGCTGAGGTCAATAGTTTATTGTTCTACTCTTAAACCGTAGGTAAACCCAATTCCTTTCTCCAAATTTGGTCAAAAACGAAAAAGCTTATAATGGAGGAAGTGACAAACTTGTTGCCAAAGTAAATTTTTTAAAAAAAATGAAAATTAGTTGTCACTTGTCACATAAAAAAGTCACGCGAAAAGTCAAACCCAATCCTTAAATTTCAGAGCTTTGTCGTTACGTTAATAAACGAATAAACTAATATCAACCTCCTTTCCCACTAAATAATAAATAATTATTGCGGTTGGCCAAAAAATAAATAATTATTGCAACAATCATCCCCCTCGTTCTTCCTCTCTTAACTTTTCCCCCCTTTTTTGGGCTAAAGTCCTCCAATTAATGGAGGCAATCAGAAGCTTACAGTTTGACATATGGCATTAGTTAAATAATATACATTATTTTACGATTAGATTAAATAATAAACGATAGAGGAAAAGTGGGAGAAAAATAAGAAGAGGCAATACTATGGAGAGAAACTTTTAAAAATAATAAATTTTTTATTGTTATTGTTAACAGTTTTACCCCTTAATATTATTTCCTCCACAGTTTTTCCCATCATCCAAACATATAGTTGGGTGAGTCTCTTTGATTTGTGCAGGATTCTATAATTAATCACACTTGTAAGAAATAAGAATCCTCTCCAACCACTCTTGTCGGTGATTATTCTTATGGGTTAGTTCTAAATTTAATATCATTGGTAGATTGAAAAACCCATTATGTTATATTTTTAAGATGAGCAATCACAAAACAATGGATTAATTAAATGCATCAAATTATTGTACGCTAAAATTGTTAACATTTTCCTCATTATCTTATCCAACTCTTGATTTTGTCTTTTTCCCTGTCAGATTACGCCAATACTCTGGCGACACAATAAAAAAATGTGACAAAAAATGACACTACATTTAGAAAACTTGTTATTACCTCCTATCCTAAATATAAGATCTCATTTATAATGTAAAATTACATTATAAACGAGGTCTTATATTTAGAATCGGAAAAAGTAATAATTAATTTTCTTGCATGTGACTTATTTGTAATTTTTCAAAAGAGTTAATGTTTCCTTAATCAGAACTATATATACTACTTCCGATCCTTAATATAAGACTCTATTTGAATTTTATTTTGATCCTAAATATAAGATCTCAATCTACTTTGTCTCTCATATTTATATATATTTTTCCAAATAACCCTTCTAACAATAATAGTTCTAGTCAATACACTTGATTAGTAAGGATATTTTAGGAAAGACAACACCTATTTAGGACAAATAACTAACTCAACTTACTTCCTTGATCTCCTCAAATTAGTCAACTGACTCTTATAATTAGGACCGGAGGTAGTATTTTGTTTTCCTCCAAAACATTTTTACCTCTATTTATGATCCTTTTTTTCCTTCAGGACAATGGAAAAAAAAACTGAAATTTTGTAAATGCCATATAAAAAATGTTAACAAAAATTTATTATCATTTGCAAAAGACTTATCAATATCAAATAAAATTATATTATCAAACTTAGAATTTGTAATTTATAATTTTTTTTCTGTCATTCTCTTTTTTCCTTTTCCCCCCACTGGGCACATGGGTTTCATGAAATTTAGCAAATTTCTGAGGCCTAATGTTCTCTTCAACCTCTCATTCCTTTTCCGGTCTTTTAGGTCCTTTGGTGATTAGACTTTTGATGTCATGAGGATCATCTTGGTTTTACTCGTACTTTTTTTTTTTTTGCCAAAATACTTGTACTCTTTTTAGATAACGTGAATATCATCTTATTGCTTGTAAATGCCCCCTATGACGTGGCGCTGTCAATACTGTCATGCAGGACTTGGTTACCAGCTTGGATGCCTTAACGACCGCCATGTAGGATGCCACCTAGTCTGTGCTTTTGTCATGCTGATCTTTTATTGTTTCTACATCCGATTCTTAATATAAGAATTAGTTGAGTAATCTGAGTAGATTAAAAAAATTTGTTAAGTTAGTTATTTATAATGAATAAGTGTTATCTTTTTTAGAATACTCTTGCTAATCATGTATATTAGTGATAATTATCATTTAATTGAACATTTAACATGCACAACCACTACAAGGACTACTTTGGGACCAATGGATAAATATGAGAGACGGTGAATTGGGGTTTTATATTTAAGACCAAATTAAATGTTAAACCAACTCTTATATTAAGAACTAAAGGTAGTACAAGTCACAAAGCGAAACAAATAGGAAAAATGTAATCAGCAAAAGTCACAGGAGCAAGTAAAAATAATTTGTATTATCAGTTCTTCAGTGTTGAAGACTCGACAGGAGATTCAACCACACGTTACAGACTATTAATCGCAGACTTTTCGTTTAAAACCTTATGTTATTGAACTGAAAACATTCTCCAGAGTGATGTTTAAACTTGTTCACTAAAATAATTATATGACCAGTTACATATTCTTGTGAAATACAGTACCAGCTTTTAATATAGGTACCTCCTGGAGCATTTTTCTGCTCTCTAATTCCTTCTGTTTCTTCATCCCTGGTTGCGCCACACTTTATTTTTGTTTTTGTTTAGGAACAGGCATTAATAACATGAGATTACAAGTAAGATCAAGCCCATGACTTCCCATTTATAGGACAGCTTTTCATCAGGTTACAAAAACCGTAGTCTAAGCCCACATATTCTTCCGTGATGTCTAACTAATGCTCTTGTTTTTACTGTAAAATGTTGATTTAGGTTCTCAAACATGCAACTGAGCAATCAATGATATGGTTCAATATGCTAAATCATCCTGATTCAGCTCCTAATAGCAATAGAACTAATTCGGCAGCTTTCCCTTGAATAAATGTCACCTGTGACTCAAAATCACTCCCAGAAAGGGAAAAGATCATCTCAAAATAATAGCCAATAATATTGCCAATTCCGAGAGACCAGTGTGAACTCTATGGCTAACCAAAAGAAGGATTTTACATCAGAAAGAATGAAGAACTACATGGACAGTGCAATATATAAGACACTTCATTATATATAATTCATTCCTTATCTAAAGTTCAAAGTTCCCCACACACCCTCTATAGCTGCCTAGGCCACCCAAAGAAAATGAAATGGAAGCAAACAGAGGCATAACAATTTCTTACAATGGCATCTCATTATATGATACAAACATTGAGTTTCTAAATCAACAAAGCAGCGATATGAATTGGGACTGTGAGATAGTGACTAATGGGTCAGAAGATATGGTTATTGGACTTAGTACTGGTGGGCTGAAATAAAGAGTTATTAGGGTGAAGTTTTGAACCTTCTATCTGAAACCGTTGATTTTTTATCCTTCTTTGTTCCTCCTCTGAATTCTCACTGTAATTCTGACTTCCTCAGAGCCTTAAATCTGGGGCTAAAGTATTGGTTCCAGTAGTATATGAAAGTATCACAGCATTCCTCTGTTCTTCTTCTCTGATTTAATTCATGGATCTGTAACCAGTTGAGGGGTGTGATCATAACACCAACAAGACACTGAAAAGCAATTCAATTATCCCAATAAGATTGTGGCCTGGTGACAAACCAAGCAGCTCCAAAGATCAGACCACCATGGCTGCCTTTAAATTAAAGAAACAAAATTGCCATTTTTTCGTATTCATCATTGACAAGCAATTGCAACACAGGCACACACAAGGTTAAAGCATAGTCTTCTACTACTTCCAGTTTTAATTATAAGACTTCGTTTGTAAACACAAACAAAGTCTTATACTTATTGATGATTGAGTGGTATCAAATCTAATACCCAATAAAAAGCAGTTTAACATGCCACCTTTCTTCTCCATTAATAAAAAAGCTAAAATAATAAATATAAGTCCCCAGAACGTTAAGCCATATAAATAATACAATGGAGTTTTTTTTTTCATAACTCACGTGTCCATTATACCTTTCATAAAAGATTTGAACTCATGAGCTTACACTTAAGAAAGCCTTAAGAAGGCACTTGGTATTACTTGGATTACAAGGCCTCAACAACTAAAGAGTATATATAGTTAGTGGCTCAGAATTTTTATGATTAATTTTAATTGTAATTCTTTTTACAACCTTTACGCTTGGGACTCAGAAATTATAAGGTTAGATATGAATGATATGTATTACCTACAATAATAAATATAAGATCTTGTTTATAGACTACAAACGAGGTTTTATATTTATGTCTACAAACGAAGTTTTATATTTATGACCGAAGATATTAATACACAAGTACTTATATGATTAAAAATTTGTGAAAAAAATAATATTTAGAATAATTGATGTTTTTTTTGGTGATAATAATCGATGATTTTTAGTTAAAAGCCTAAAATGCATGACAATAGTGGATAGATATTTAATGAAGGATTTAAAATTTGAAATTATCAATTATGTCATTCACTTGTATCCTGAAAATAGATCTATAGAAATCAACCGCAAATATAAGTATTAGGAAAAAAATTTCCGAAGTGATAATTATTATTAATAATTTGGCAGATGTAATTATATACCCTGACCTGGAAGATTTCATATATGAACACTATGCTTCTATAAGTCCAGATCATTATCTTCCCTAATCAATGATCAGAAAAAAGTAGGCTTAATTATTTTATTTTAATGGAGGAAATTACGTTAACCCATTTGCAACAAAACGACATGCGAAAATCTGTACGTTACTAAGCTAGGGATCAATCTCCCAGCAAAGCGTTGAAGGAAATCTTGTCGTTTACTCTCGATTATTGATTGATACGGGTTGTCCACTTGTCGTTCTGCCGCAAGGGCCAAAACGCAGGGATCATAAACTACTAAACTAGGTCCTCAATTTAATTATTTAATATATTTAGAAAGAATCATCAGAGGACATAAAGGACACTTAATTTAATGATTTTAAATCGCTGGAGAAATTATTGAATATCAATGCAATAATTTAATATTAAAAATAATTATTAAGATGGCCCTGTATATTCACACACTGCCTTTATTTTTGGAGAACTAATTACAAGTCTAGTGTGACATAACTTTTTTTAAAAAATCATAATGATGGAAAAATTATATTTTACATTAATATTGATGATAAGAAGAGTTTCTTTTATTCATATTACGTTTTATTTCCGTTTTTGTCTGCATTTAAACATAAATCATAATACTAAAATTATCAAGATTACTCAAATCATAACACATTATGTACCAACTATCAAGCTACCCAAATAGGACCATATTATCAATGAATGATAGGTGATATAAAAATCTATATGTAGAAACAAAAAAGCAAATAAAGAAAACCACCTTATGACGTGATGGTGCGTGATTCTGGGTATTTTGCGTTATATTCTAATATTTGAAAGAGAATAATATAGATTTTTATATAGATATATAAAATACATTTAATTTCACTAAAGATAAATTCATATATGATTTTTAAGGATGTGTTTGGTTCAATGGAAGAGAGGTGAGGCGGGGGCATGTTACTCGTCTCCCCTGCCGTTGTCACCCCTCTAAAAAACCACAGCCAATTCCAAACAATGCCTAATTAAACATAATTAAGTATTAAAAATTTAGTATACTTCCTCTGCTTCTGTTTATACTATTTTTTTTGGAAACTTATTTATACCAATTATGATATATGATTAATATGATATATTTTTTTAAAATTTCTGGATATCCTTTAATTTATTTCAATACTAGTAATTAATGTCTTAAACTTTAAGATTAGTGTAAATAAAGGTGTAATTAAAAAAAGTAGAAATTAATGTTGAAAATTAATGTCTATGAATAATTCTATTTCTTCCTGATCAAGGTCAACACTTTGGTTTGCTGGCCAAAAAAAAAAAAAAGGAACACTTCGGTTACAGCACATTGCAAATTGCAACTTAGATTTCAGAGCTGTGTTGACTTTGGACAAAGTGGCACATCTTCGATTTCTCGGCCAGTGTGTCGGTTTTAAAAAAATTGAAACCCTCAAAAATTCTTATTGCATTGAATGTACATCCAGTTAGTATTTTAGATCTTGTCCATTCACACATACATTGGAATTTGAATGTATATAACGAATATACATACACATTAATATAAATACTTATATATACATGCATATATATATATGACTAGATCATGGACGTAAGATTTTCTCAAGCAAAGTTGGTGGCTATTTAATTTGGTAGTTTCTGTAGCGTCTGATCTGGGTTTCTCTTATCGTCTTTACACTCTTCATGTGCAATAGGCTCCATTGTCTACCAGCTCCTTCGTGCTTCATTCACTGCATTCTTCCTTAAATAAATCTAACTCTTCTCAGATCTCACATTCTCTTTTGGGTCCTCTTCCCAGTTCTCATCTTACTGAAATCTTCGTTCTCACTGTTCCATAATGATAAGAGAAACTCAGTGACCTACCATTCTTAGTCATATCATAGAGATTTTTTGGTTTCAGAATATGAAAGGTTTCTGGGTTTCGTTCGCTTACTTGGTTTCTGCAATTTTTCTTGTTCTGCTTGCTCACATTTCAACTGCACAGCTAACAGCAAGTGAGAGTAGAATTCTATTCCAAGTTCAGAAAATTCTTGAATATCCTCAGGTTCTTCAAGGATGGAACAACTGGACCAATTTCTGCTATCTTCCTTATTCACCTTCTCTCCAGATTGTCTGCTCTAACGGTCATGTAACAGAATTAACAATCATTGGAAACCAAACCTCTCCTTCCATTCATATTCTTTCTGAAAGATTTTCCATTGATTCTTTCTTCACTGTCTTGACAAAGCTTTCAAATTTGAAGGTACTTTCACTAGTGTCCTTGGGTTTGTGGGGTCCTTTACCAGACAAGATCAACAGGTTCAGCTCTCTTCAAGTTCTGAACTTGAGCTCAAATTCCATTCATGGGGAGATCTCACCATCAATCTCTTCCATGAAAAGTCTCAGGAGTCTGCTTTTGGATGGTAATTTGTTCAAAGGAACTGTCCCAGATCTTAAAAGACTAACTTCTCTTGAAGAACTCGATCTGGGAAACAACAAACTAGGTCCTGAGTTCCCTTCATTAGGTAATAATCTTGTTAGTTTAGTATTGAGAAACAATTCTCTGAGGTCTAAACTTCCTTCGAAGTTTAATCAGTTTGACAAGCTTCAAAAAATTGATATTTCCTCCAATGAAGTTTCTGGAAACATCCCATCTGCTCTGTTCTCTCTGCCTTCCATTCAGTATGTGAACCTTGCAGACAACAAACTAAGCGGTTCCCTTTCAGTGAACATTAGATGTGGTTCTTCTCTGACCTTCGCTGATATTTCAAACAATCTTTTGGTGGGAAGATTGCCGTCCTGCATTGGGTCAAACTTAAAGTCCTCAAATCGCACGGTTTTGTATTCTGGGAATTGCTTATCCATAAGAGGCTCAAAAGATCAACACCCAACTTCATATTGCAAGAAAGAGGAAGCTTTAGCCACTAAACCTCTTGAAGGAAGCCAGAAAAAGTCAGGTATGAAATTAGGCTTGATACTTGGTATAATTGGAGGGTCTGTAGTAATTTCAATGCTTTTAGCTCTGATCATTCTTCTCATCTTGAGGAAGACCAAAGCAGAAAGAGCTGATAATTACCTAGACAGATCTGTTACTGATAAATCCCCTGGTCATGCGTTCCCAAGACCAAATACTGATACAAGTAAGCCCACCTTTATGGATCTTTCTTGTTTTCTTTTATAATCTGATTTACTCATGATGAATTGTTTCCACACTTGGTTTCAGACATGACTCTTGTTGTTTATTCGTGTTGTCGTATTTTAAGGCATGTCTGGTTTTATATAGCGTTGCTTCCACCAAAATGTGACTTTGGTGATTTTCCATGTGAAATCAAACACGCACTTCATGACCGTATAAATATGGTTTTATTTCTTTAATGGCCATAGGACGAGTTCCACAGACTACGAGGCTGGCAGCGATTGGACTTCCACCATACAGAATCTTCACAGCAGATGAAATAGAGGAGGCAACAAACAATTTTGACCCATCAAATCTTATGAGAGAAGGATCAGAGGGACAGGTAAAGAATAATCAGATCAAGTGTTGAATAAGTTGGGACCCACCAGACCAAATTGTGATGGCATTGACTTTATGTGCACTTATGCAGCAATATAAAGGTTGGATCAGAGACGGGTCTGTGGTCCTGATTAACTGTGTAAAGCTAACGCACAAGAATGTGACCCAAAACCACATTGAGGTGTTGTCCAATTTAAGGCATAGGCATTTGGTAAGCGTTATTGGACACTGCCTAGTAGCCTCTCAAGACCATCATCAGACAACAAGCACACTCGTTCTTGTTTGTGAGCAATTCTCAAATGGGTCATTGAGGGATCATTTAACAGGTAAGAAATCACACACAAGCTATGGATCATCCATGGACTTTTTTTCTTAAAAGAGTTAAAGCGCATTGTTGCCAACATGTGTTGAGATGAATTTTCATTCAATTGCAGATTGGAGAAAAAAGGAAGTGCTGAAATGGCCACAAAGAATGGCGATCACCATAGGAATTGCAAGGGGAATCCAGTTCTTACATACAGGGCTTGTTCCTGGTATATATGGCAATAACATAAAGATTGAGAAAATCCTTTTGGATGATAGTCTCAGTGCAAAAGTTAGTGGATATAACATTCCATTGCTATTCAATGAAATTGACAGGTAGATTTCTGCTTATTATGGTCTTTTCTTTTTACCCCTCTTTCCACTTTCTGTTCCTTCCCCACCTAACAATCCAAAATGTATTTTGGTGTTATGTCCATTCGCAGCGCTGACAATACCGCAGAAAAGGAAGATATATATCAGTTTGGTGTTATTCTACTGGAAGTTATAACTGGCAAATCAATTACTTCTGTCAATGAAGTAGAGGAACTGAAAGATGAGGTACGTTATTATATTCATAAAAGATACATGAACAAGTTAGCACTAAATATCAGTGACAAATAAATCTTCATAAAATTGATTTAATCATTATTATAGTTCAAAAATACCTTATCAGATCTCATTCAATTCAAGTGTTGACTAAATTTGAAAATTTGCTTATCTGAAATATAATACTTTCAATTTAATAATTTTCAGCTGGAGAGAAGCTTATCAGAAGCCGCATCAGTACTTAGAGGAGTGACTGATCCTTCAATCAGGGGAAGTTATGCGTACGAATCCATGAGAACCACAGTTCAGATTACCATAAGTTGCCTCAATAAAGTTCCTAGCACGCGTCCTTCAATAGAAGATGTTCTCTGGAATTTGCAGTACTCAATTCAGGTCCAAGAGAACTGGACCAGCAGTGGAAATCTCGGACTCGGTACCAGATTTTAGGCCTCCTATTCAAAGTATACGTCTGCCCAAGGTCGTTCACACAGCTCATTAATCAGAGAATTAATTCATGCGTGTAAATATCTAACAACTCCTGCAATGTCACTAAAGATGCATTCTTCAATATTACAGTAAAGTATCTGTCACATTGTGATTGTTTAAGGAAACATGTTTCATATTTTATTATCTGGAAATTGTGATTTCTCCGTTTGATTCTTGTTGGTGATTGTCCTAGCAATCTAATGATACGTAAAAAGTGCAGTAATCAAACATAAGAACAGTCAAAAGAAACACAATGCCTAGATATTGATATTATGGGTGGAACATCAATTCATGTTGAGTTTTGGGCAAACACACGGGATGATCAGAAGCCAAGGATTACAAAACACAATAGTTCTTTCAAGTCTCCGTTATTTAATGAGATCTTTTGGATTCTCTGACAACCTTGTAGACTGACAATAGTTCTTTCAAGCCTTGGAGTCGGGATCCATTCAATCAGCAGTCCAACTCTGCTCAACAATCTCACGCACTTTCCTGTTGTAATCACGCTTGTTTTCACTAAACATCCGAGCAGCCTCTGAATTCGCTGGTGAGTTTGGGTTTGGATCACACAGCAACGACTGCAACAAGGCCACTATATAAGGCAAACAAGAAAAACGTAGGGCACAGACAAAACAGCAAATTACAATCCATTAAGATGCATCGGAATTCTTGAATATTAAGAGATAAATGCATATCATGAATCACATGGCGAGTACGGGATTCTAACCTATATGAACTATAGGCTCTCCAACCTATGGCTATCCCAAAGCTTTATATAGCAGAAAATGAGGAGTTTTTAAGAGGGCAAGATTTGTATTCTAGGAGCCATCCATTAAAATGCTTTTCCCTAGAGCTTATAAAATAAGTGGTTTCATCAATTCCATATCAAAATTTATAGCACTTGCCCCAAAAGTCAGTCTAGTAAATATAAAGATGCTTGAGAACTTCAGGCTTCAACAACAGCAATAATGTCTTCTCACGTTGTGTAAGGAGATGAAACATGGGTAGGGTAGGCATTAAAGCAGGTCAGAGTTTATGTCATAACTGAAATGACAAAGGTGTTAAGGTGCGCAGAGAAACTTCTAGGCACAAGGCAATTCTTAAAAAAGGCAGAAGCAGATGCAGAGCATGAGAGTTGGACAAGATAAGGGTTATTGGATTATTGCAGTAGAATCACGATTTGCGTTCCACATACGCTAAATAACAGGAAGCATAGACTAAAAAGGGAAGATAAATGTTTACCAGATATAGGGGAATGTTAAATGATTGCTTGAAATCACAAACACGGAAAATGGAGTGGAAAACACGAGCATGAAGCTAGCATGTAAATCTACTAATCAATGACAACTATTAAATGAGATAGTCGATATTTATTTAGTACAGCTAAAGTTATCAAGCATCTACGACATAGATTTTAAGGAGGTTTTCGGAATGTGAACAACCAACTTTCCCTAAAACCTGGGACACCAAGTCATAAGACATTAAGGCATAATATTATCGGAAAATTCAAATTTGTGTTGTACATATCTAGCACAACACAGGGATACTGGCTTTTGACCTACATCATGCTCAACTTTATTTTAATTTTAATTTTTTAAGAAATAGGTATCTTTTACTTGGAAACGTGAACTACATGTACACAATATGTTGCGACATAGAAGAATCATTCATATGATTAATTTCTTCTCATTTCTCCCCTTCCAATTGAGCATCTCATTCTCAACATTTAAACTACACATACAAGAGGGAAATGAAAATAAGATAGGCAACTTTTAATCAAGCAACATCATAAGATTTTCAGCGGTTATAGTCTAGAAGCATCAATTAAAATACCTGGATTGAAGTAAGTATTGCAGCTACATCATAAATTGGGCTCCACTGGTTCTGTAAAATATCCAAACATATGCTCCCATCCGCGTAAACTAAAACACAGAAAGGGAACTTAGAACTGGAAATTGCTGAATTTGATACTAAAGAACAGAACTTCTTAAACAAGCCCCTGACATAATTTGGAACTCAATTTCGGCTCAGAAAGGATAAAAGGAAAGCAAGCTCCAGTTTCAACTTACTGTTTGGATGGAACATGCGAGAAACAAAGCGCACTATAGGCGGTTTATTGGGATAATCTTCTGAGAACTGAAGGGTCAATTTAAACGTGCCTGAAAGACAGAAATCAGATCAGACATAAGTCGGATATGCAAATAGAATTTATAAGTAATAAAAACATGAAAAATTTAACATGTGCAAAAATTAGTCAACGTGAAACATGCACCCCCTTTTGCGACCAGAAGAGTAAACAAAAAATTTCAACTAAACCTCTACCCCAGGCCTTGATCTTTGAAACACTAACATGTAATTTTGTAAATAATGCGTCCTGTCATGCGCTTGTAACACATCAGATACCAACATTAGTACACCTACCGGTTGAACTCATGTATGCATGCCCCACCTTGAACTGCTCTAAAGACAGGTTCAGACACAAGATCAACACACTTTGGGATCCTTGACTATCCTAAAGACTTCTATCACTCAGACATGCATATGGTGAAAAATATATTCATATGATAATAATTTAACAAAATGCATTAACTATAGAGTTATAGACAATGGAGCATAAAATTATTTTCAACTTTATCAACCATGTGTGCGTGAATAAAACTCTGATCATCAATCGTCTGAGTCTAGTATTAGAAAAACATCCAGGGAGCTTGAAGTTGCACAAACGTGTGTTATTTCATGTTTATCACAGATTTTACTGTCATTGTGCAAGTATACCAGAAAGTACTACTGTGTCAACATGTCGGTATCATCCAATTTATGTGTCTTTGCATGATTAACAACCTAAAGGCAAAAGCATTATGAATATGTTGACAATCAAAAAGTATATATTTGATGAGGTATTTAAACAACAGGTTCAAACATACGGTTTAAAATTTCTATTGCACTCTTTAAAATCCAAGGATTATGTGTGAATACAACTGTAAGTGTAGGAGTCAGTTATATATGAAGTAACTCAAAGTAATCGTATTTATAATTAAAAAGAAAAAAAGAAAAAAGAATGCGGATTGTGAGGAGGCTTAACACCCGCATCCCTTCCTCATAAATTTACATGTTTAATTTGACTGAGATTAGGCCTGAAGGGCAGAAGGCCAAATCTTTTTCAAATCATGAGCCATTGAATGCTGAGGGGAACTACTTGTTAATTGTATTGCAAAATATTGGGCAGAACCTTAAAGCAAGACAAGGAATCCTATCAGTGAAATAAGGCAGAAGATGTAACTGTACCTCCATCCCATGGGGTGTCATCTGGCCTGAAAAACCACCAGGAAAAGAGAAGTTACGATGTTGGCATATATCTACTAATCTAAAACCACAAAATGAAGCCACGTGCACTTAAGAACAGAGAAGGTAATTTTGCATCTTTCAGTTTACTATCGTACCCAAAGATAACTGCATTCCATAGCATGATATTATTGTCCTGGGGAGCGCCACTGATGCCCGCAGGAGGGTCTTGCTGCAATCTTTTAAAATCCCTCATCAATCTCTTCCTGGCAGGGGTCGACATTCTCGCCACCTATGTTTCAATTGAGAACAACGCAATTTTCAGCAATTAGCAAATGACAAACCCATCCAGAACGGATTTAGAAGACAGAGAAAAGAGTAGGGGATTAGTTAAACTGATCTCGGACAAAGCTTAACAAGAATCAAGAGAAACATTGGTTATCCCCAGAATTTTCCATAAGTATTAACAAGTGAAAACCATTTCCTACAAGCGAAGTACATTCGACTGGCAGAATGTTCTCCATCTATGCATCAATAACTTACATGCTGGATCCATCTCAATGATAAACTCGAAAAAAATAAGGTGGGTTAATCTATTTTCAAGCCTCTAAGCCCCGACCGCCAGGGCAAGGGTCGCCAAAAACGCATTTACTTTTTGTGTTTCTTTTTACAAGAAAAAGAAAAGGAAAACCAACCCAGAATTCAGAAAACGGTGTAGATCAACTATTACATTCCCCCAACAACATTACAACACAAGATTAGCAAAGCGCAAGACCATCCTACGCATCGGGCGACCAATTCTATTTAGGGCTTCTTCAAATCAAACTCCAAGGTAATTATGTATGAATTAATTGCATAAAAGAAAGATTCACCACGAGGGGGAAAACGAATAAAACCGAATTTACGAAGGGGAAAAAGCAGATAAAGAATCCCAACTGGTACTGAGTGCAAGCGGCGAGTTTCAGAGCCAGTAGAGGATGAGCAACACGAAAAGAGTAGGAAAGTTGGAAGCTTCGAATGGTTCGTGCAGAGCCCAAAAGAAGACGAGCTTGAAATAGGGAATTTATTGATTATCAGAGGAATGCTTCCATGGCGACCGGCTCATCAGAGAGAGTTTCTCAAGTTGTTATATTATATGGATATATCTTTCCTTGGGGCCAGAGGTCCCAATCCCAAAAGCTCACGCACACTCACCCCCTCTCTCCTCTCTCCTCACTCTCCCTCCGGTGTTAACTTCGGTTTTGGCTTTTCCTCCCAACTTGCACTTGCAACTAGGCAACTAGCTGCGCTTAAAAGCCATGAGGCACCTTCATTTCACACTTCGCAATATCGCATCGATTAGCATTTTTAAAAAAAATGTTTTCACCTGAATTAAAATAAAACTCCTCTCATTTAAAAATAAATAAATAAAAATAAAACTCCTCTCACATATAGGATGTCCTCCCACCTTACTTGCAACTACTCCCACACGCCATTTAGAATTTAAAGCATATTATTCTTTAGAACTATTGTATTTAGAAGAAATTATCACAAAGTTATGAAATTTTAAGAAAAGAATATATTTACTTAAAAATCTTATAACAACTAGAGAGCTTATAATAATAAGTTTTAATATAAGAAATATACTCACTTATTGTTGAGAATTTTTAATAGCGATATCCCTTTCATATGACCTCAGAATAGTTTTTCTTCTCAGAATAATTTTTCTTTCTGTTTATTGGGACCAAATTTATAAATCATTTTTTTTTTATCAAGGGTTTTCCTTTCCAAGACTTAGAATGCAAAGAGTTTTTGCTTGAAGTATTTTTAATATATTTATGTTATATTCAGTCCATTTTGATTTTTTTTGAATTTATATTAATTTTATAAAATTGAAAATGCTCTGTAATTAAATTAATTTTTATCAAAAATACTCTTGGTTTTACCATGTAAGTAGTTCTTTAACTAAAGTAGTAATCTCTGCAATGTAAACTTGATTGATAAGGAAGTTACTAATTACTCATAAATAAAGATACTTCATTTAAAACAATGCTTAATATTCAAACATATAGTATCTCACTACATTCGCCATTTAAAACATAATAAATTGAAGTAGATTAAGGAAATCCAACAAATAATTATAACAAATGTGAATTGATTTCCTTAAAATAACTATGCAGAAAATTGGATTATACATAATACATTATTTCATAAATTAGGTGAATTATTTTAAGAAAAAGATAAATATGAGAAACTAAATAAATTAATATATTATATTTGGAATCAAATATGACTCCAACTAATTTTTATATTTATAAACACTATTTTAAATTTTAAAAATCAGAATAGGTTAATTTGTTATTTTATCACAAAACAAATTGGAATAGAATTTGAAAAGAGATGCTTTTTGAAAATTTTTTAGATTAAAAAAATTAGTTAAATTAATTATTTATAAAAAAAAATGCGTACTGATTCTCATATTGTAATCCATCGTTTATATCGGAAACCACTTCTTTGATAGAAAATTTTTTAATATATGAAAGAAATAGGAAGTATTTAGCATCAAAGCAGATTCTTCTACTAGTCTTCAATTTAAAACAGGAAAGAGAATATTTTTTAAAATACATACAAATTGAGAAATAAAATAATCTACCCAAATTTAATATATAACTGGAGTTTGCATATTATTCGGACATGACAACACCCTGGAAACTTGTATTTATCAGTGAACTTGGCAACTTTGTGTGATACATATTTGACTTTTGACAGAGATTACGGCAGAAAAATAGAATATGCATAAAACAAAGTTCCCCCCCAGACTGTGGCACATATTGGGACAGCTGTGAAAGGTATTGAGAAACATCCAAGCGTGTCAGTGGATATGTTCTTTCTCTTTTCCTGATCTTTAGTTTCAAATTACATCAGAATATATGGATCTTCCATACTATCTGTATATGTATTTGTGGGAATCTGCTTTTGTTTAATCTCGCTGGTCAGGAGAAGAAATGCTCATTTAACTTTAGATTTAAGAAATATATTCTAGCACTCACTTCTCATTCTTAGAAATCATCAGAGTATTATAAAAACATGCAAATATTAAATTTTTTCTTCCTTTTATAATTTTCTCCAATATAATTAGTTTTGTTATACCTTATTACCACACTGTGAGTGAAACAATGGATAATGAAAGTGGCATGGTGCTTTCCTCTCTTAATGAAGCAGATGTGGATGCTTCATCTCTATCTGTTCATTTTTAAGCACATTTTCCCCCTTCTACACCACGCCCTCATACTGTTCGACGATATGCCCAAACCAGACCCACTTTCAATAGCAGGATGAGTATGGTGAAGTTCTCTGGCTGTTAAACCCAGTTGAATTGCAGATTGACTAGTTGCCATAATAATTAGAGTCTATACCTTTCAGTCTAGGCTAACTTGCATCGTTGACCTTCTGGGCTTATCTGATCAGTTGGATGAAGCGTTCATTTTGTGATCATATTCAAGATTTACAGATGCTGGTGGTGGGAAGATGCAGGTATGGGGGAAAGGAAAAGAAGGATGATCGATGATAAAGTATTAGATGACCTTTGTGGTTTTAAATGAACGGAAAGTGACATGAGAACTACATATTAAAGCAAAAATATGACTTCGTTATTTTACTCTGAAGCTAAAACGGAGTTTACTACATTTCGAGTACTGAGTTTCCATGCATTAAGACTTCCATAGAAAGTTATTGATGATTTAAAATCTCTTCCACAGCAAATCCAAAGTAATCGTCAAAATGATAAGGAGGTTCTGAGATGAAACAAGAGATCACGTCTCTCAGTGTAATGACTCCAGTTACTTCACCCTCACTACACACTGCGTAAATCCTGTGCACACGCTCAGAAGCAAGAGTGTGGATCACATCTCCCAGTGAAGCATCAAGACAACATGTTATGGGCTTGTTGATTTTTCCAGTTTCTGGGGACACCGTGTTCAGGAAATCCATCACAGTAAGCTTCCTGCACAAAAATTGAATGAAGTTTACCATATTTTCCGGTCCTCTAATGATAGGCATATTTGTTTGTAACATTGCAGATATACAATCGTCTTCTATGTTACCTAAAATTGGAGAAAAGCTCAGGCTTCAGCAGCAAGTGTCTGATGTCCCTTGTGCTTACATTGCCAACAATTTTCTTATTTGGCCCCTCTACTACGGGAAGACCTCCAATTTTATGATCCTTCATTTTCTTGAAAGCTTCAAGAACTAAGTCATCCCTCTGGATGCTGATAACCTGGTTAGGAAAAGGTAAGAAGCTTCTCAGACCTTCAAATTTTGGTAAATCAGAACTATGATAAACTTTGATCTTTTACCTCATCAGAGGACATAAAAGGAAGTCCCAGATCAGATAGAGGTCTAGCAGCAATGCAGTCAAACCAATCTCTACCTTGGCATCCCTCAAGACCTTGAACAACTGCTGACTGAGTAATGTAATTTACAAGGTCAGGTTTGCCTGGTTCCATTACAGGTACGTTCCTCAGCCTATATTTGGAGAGAAGAAGCAAAACAGTCAACATACTGCTATCTTTTGAAACTGGAACAAAAGGAGCCCAACGGTATGATTTGAGTATGGATCGCACCTGAAAGCAGACATCAAAACAAAGCATATGTTTTTATTTTTGAGAAAGTGAAGTTAGGAGAAGGAGAAGAACTTGAAAACGATAGAGATAGCCTGCAAATAAAGTGAAAAACGTAAGCGATGATTTCAGATTCTGCAAATCCTTGGTCGCACCATGAGTGAAGGAATCTTTTTCAAAAGTCAATAATTCGATGCTGAGTAATCAAAGACCTGTTCTATTTTTCAGGTCGTCTTGAAACTGGAACCTGGCTTTTTTCTATTAACCAGTCATCCTAACTTAAATTGTCTCTTTGCCAGTGAAAAAAGAAGAACATTTATACCAAAAATCAAAAGGATAACAATCACATCAAAAGATACAAACTTGCAGCTTTGTCCAGATCCGCCCTGAGCAATTGCCGAGCTTACCGTTGTTGACTTGAAGGGCTCTTCTTTGAGTATAACTTTGTAGAAGTCCTGACCCAGATTATCAGCAGCTTCAGGGCCATCTTTACCCGCTCCTTTGTCGGCGGCAACACCACCGGCAACAGCAGCACCAACTGCGGCAGCTGTTAACCCAGCAACTGCAGCAGGACCCGTGACTCCCATTGCCACTGCTCCGAGAGCACCGACAGCTCCGGCACCAACTCCAAAAGCCGTAGCTGTACCGGCTGACAAGGCGGCGGCTGCAACTTCTGCACTCTCCATCACCCACAGAATAATAGCCGAATAATCTATTATGCCAAGGTACCTGTCTCTCCAATGTGAACTATTTTCTGCCTCTGGAACTCTTACTGGTGCTGATAATATGCTGCAATCAGATAGAATCCTGACTGCGTCCCCAACCAATGTGTGTGCTGGAATTTCAACCACTATCAAAGCAATAACATTACAGGTTACTGACTCACATTAACCACACAAGCTAATCATGGCGATGATGAAATGCATTAGTATCATAAACTTTCCTACCTTTTCCTCCAGGAACTCCAGGGAAAGAGGAAACAGGAATCTTAGCAAAGGCGTCTGTCAATGTCTCCTGCAATGCCGGTGCTAATTTCTTCCGGGATTGGATGGTTTCGAAGTAGGTATCATAACTTGAATGTTTGGCGCTTTCACTGACTCTGATCTCCTGTTCTTGCGCCATGAATGAATCTGAGGCAAAATTAGGTAAATTTAACTGCAGTTTTAATAAATTATATCTAGCCTCCATCAGGATTTATTTACACATATGTAGTTCCAACGTTGTGATATGGTTTCTAAATCTGATTCAATGTTGGAAATTATTCTGACATGTTAGACCTGTCAGATTTGCAATTGTGATTCAATGTCTTGAAAAATATTCATCCTTTAGATGCCATTATGACTCAGTGCTACGCTTGATCGGCTCTTGCTTATTCCATATATGGTTGATATTGGACGAGGAAATTGACGTTGCTCAATCTTAAGAAATCATAATGAATAAATAAATGCAAACTCCTGCCTATAATGGCTCTAATGCAGACACAAAAGGGGTTAAATGAAAGATTGAAAATGAATAACCTTGACGTACCTTTCAATCTGAGACTGCAAGTGAATGGATTCAGGATTCAGAGTTGTATTCTTTTTGTTGTGTTTTTTGGTTTGGGATGTCGTTCGTTATTTCTGGTTTTTGAGTGAATGTTGGGGGTTTTCTAGCAGTGCCACGTATGTACATAGGACACGTGTCAAAGGCTATCACAACCACTTGTTAAATGTTTGCTTCTAACTGCTCTCCCCCCTTGAAGAAGTAAACGCGTCCTGCCCGCAAACAGAGGATGCAAGGAAATAATGGAAAAGCTTATAATTAATACTACAAATATTAGACCCAAGAAATTAGTAATAAATAAAAATGTCTAAAACCATAAAATTTATCTATCGTGTAGAAATAGATGAACTTGTTTCACTGAAAGAATCATTGTAAAATTGTGAAAAATATGATATGGCTCAAGAGATCAGTGATTGTTAACTTTAAGCAATATCAACATATTGTATTTTATCGATATCTATAATTTATAATATTTTGACTGTGATTAGTTAAGTTATACTACTATGATTTTAATTTTTTTCAAGATAAAAGAACTTTCAGTCCAGATTAGCGTAAGTGTTCTGTTCAATGTTCATGACAACCTTAAATGCCTGTGTCTCAGAATATTTCTTGGCGCCACGCCTCTAAAATCTTATATTGGATTCTTCTTACCCATGAATATATTATGAATTTTAACCTTTGGTAGAAAATTTTATTAAGGTGTCACAATATCCTTCCAAAAAAGAATCCATTTTACATTAATTATTAACTGGATGTAATCTCATAGATAGTTTTGAGGTCGAGTTAAAGAAAATTTTTGTCAGGTGATTTTGCCAACCCGCATGGTGTTCAGCTCATAATGCGGTCTAGCATTTATTAAAAACATAATTAGAACGAAAAACCATAATTTAAGATGCTCCTTCTCCCCTTGTTATAATACTTCCGTTCTTTAATATAAGAGCTAGTTAACTAATTTGAATATATTAAGAATTAGTTATTTGTAATAAATGAATATTGTTTTTGCTAAAATATCCTTGCTAATCAAGTGTATTGGCTAAAACTACCATTATTACAAATATTACTTTGAAAAAAAATGAATAAATATGAAGACAAAAAGGATTAAAATTTTATATTTAGGATCAAAATAAAAATCAAATGAGCTCTTATATCAAGGACTAAAGGTAGTAATAAATAATTACTAAGATCATACAGTTCAAAATATTAGTTAAATTTAATTAAAAGTAAAAAATGTATAAAATATATATACAATTTTTTTAATTATACTCTTGTTTGTAAAAACAGTAAATAAGAGATAATGAATGAAAATTTATTATATAAACATAATAAGTGATATATATTTAATAAGGAAAAAAGTCAAAAAAACTAATTTAAAATTTCATATAAAAGAGAATTTGTTTTTAATATTTAGAAACATTATTATGAAAAAGATTATTTCTTACAAAACAAAATCAAAGAAGTACTTTGAAAAGAGGGGCAAAGCAAGTAATTGGCCAGGAAAGCATAATTGCCATTGCTGTCCTTCCTCTTCACCTCACTCAATCACCCACTTCCATTGTTGACCACGTCAAGCACATTGCCGGAAAGGTTTGAATTCTTTTGGACTCAGATTCCTTAAAATAGAGCAAGATTAGAAATAATGTACGGGTTCCATTTCATTGTTTTTGGCATGCAAAAGGATGGGTTCCGCGATCCATTTATTTTCCCATAAATCACAGTCCCTCCATTCCACCAAAAATTGGAAGGAAATGATGACGGAAAGAAATCGGTGACATTAGATATTTCTTCACACAAAGCGCAAGGATCGTTCCATGTCACATCCCTTGCCTCAGTACCAAGTGTGATTGTTTATTTCAGGCCAAACTCATCTGCACATAGATTGAAAGATGAAGGAACAAGGTCTATTATACTTGAGCATTTTTCATTTGGGTTTATTTGGCAAATTTGTCACCTTATCTTTTTTGTTTCTATTCCATTTCTATCACCACAGGGATTCCAAGGCGGTGACGAATGAGAGACGCTAGATTCTAAAGGATAGAAATTTGAGGAAATAACAGGCCTTTTGATGAAGCCAGTTGTTCAATGTCAGAAGATAAGGGTATAATAAATTAATAACCTGTTTCAACGTGTCTCTGATTATAATTTAGCGGACATTATTTTGTAACCCCAACTTATAAAAAAGCTTCTTCATGTTAATGACTAAATTAGGAACATTTTGCTTTTAACAACCGGTGTGGGTGGGGAGGGTAAATGACTAAATGCTACAACTGCAAACAGCAACATATTCTTCATTAAGAAAATAACAAGTAAAAGATAAACGCATACTACCATCTCAAAATTTCTTGCCTAACAGGACAACACATTACAAAATAAAGTTGAGAAATCCCTACACACCCTTTAGCGCTGTACAAACTATCTGCTCCATTCATAGTCTCCTCCATATCTTGGATTGGCGTTATTCAGTCGGCTTTGATCATCTGGTTTTATAGAATTTGCAAACGCATGCCAGCCCAGAAGGTATGGCATGATAAACTGCATAGAAAAAGCAGTAAATTTACAATCGGAATAAGACAGATAAATTCATAAAGAAAGCTCTTGCTGGAGATTAAGTGTCACTCTGCTTAGGCTTTGTTTTTGTTTTATTTTAATCAAGGCTTATTTATTTTGTTATATTTTGGGTAAAATTTCCATGTTCTCAATAATAGTTTAAGTGTGTTTTTTTTTTTTTCAAATCAAGATAAAATTATGCTGCTTTGAGAATTATGTCTTCAAGTTGGCTTAAAAGTCTTCTTTCCTTTAACCTTCCACATATGCACATGGTGCTATTTGATGCTAGCTCTAGTCCTAATTATAAGAGTTAGTTGACTAATTTGAGAAGATTAAGAAAAAAAGTTAAGTTAGTTATTTGTAATAAATATGTATTGTTTTTCCTAAAATATCCTTACTAATTAAGTACATTGGCTATAACTCATTGTTAAGAAGACTATCTTGGAAAAAATATATAAATATAAGAGACAAAATGGATTGGGGTCTTATATTTATGACCAAAATAAAAATCAAACAAAGTCTTATATTAAGAACCGGAAAGAGTATATAAACTTTCGAAGATTACTAACCTTACATTTCTAAGCTCTACATATTTAAGAAGCCTATTCCAAGGTGCTACATCATCATGAAAATACAAAATAACCAGGCCTCTCTTTCTTATGACCTGCTCAGCTAATCCAGATTATAGGCTGTCTCCAGGACGACCCCAGCAGAAATTCTATAGGCTTTATATCTTTCACCGGTTTTTAGAGTAAAAGAGAAGTTAACTACCACATCTAGATGGTTAGCTCTCTGGTATCGTAAGCATTGAACAGGTGTTGCTACACATTTATAAGAATGGATTAACTTCACACCAATGTTGGCCTTAATGAGCATGCCTTTTATATTTTGTTGAGAGAAAGAGTAGGGGGAGAGAGAGAGAGATCATACATTGAAAATTGAGTTGAAAACTGTTAGCTCAGCTTTTGTAACAGGGATATAGATGCTTTCATCCACGTTCTCAATCTTGTTTTGAACACCTTCATAAGATGCATATCAACGGCATTGGCATGAAAAAAGGTCAGATAAGTTAGGTCATAAAAAAGGAATAAAGTGACATAATAGTAACAGAAGTTTATGAAAAGGGGGATTACTTAGGTTAAAAAAGTGACCAGAACCATCTGGAAGTGGCTCCACCTTCAAAACTTTTCTGATTTTACCTTCATCACTGCAAAACAAGACATGTTAAACATGTTGCAATGGGACCAAAGCAGAGTCATAGCTTATCTATCAGCAGGGGAAAAAAAATCAAACGAGAGAGTGCAATGACTTGGCCAATCTATAAGCATCAGCAGAGATGAGTGCAACACATGCTATTATTTAATCCATGGTTTGAAAAGACGCCGATTTTCTCCCAAAGATTTTTCGAATAAACTAAGTGAGGGTCATACACGTTGCATGGGGTTTAAGAAATGAGTTACACTATTCAGAACTTATGAATAGAATGACTTCCTGTAGATTTTATATGAATACTGATGCTGATAGATGTAGATTATAATAATAATTAAAGCTTTGAAAGGCATGGATAGAAATTACCTCCTCCCCTTGAAAGGATCATGAAAGAATTCACACGAATCCCTTGTACCAAGGCTAATTACATTTCCCATTTCACCCACCGATAGAGAGAATACCTGCATTCAAGCAAACTGAATTTATTACCTCACCTTTCAAAAGTTACACAGAACCATCTATATCAAAGAAATCATGTCATCAAACACGGAAATGAGACTAAGAAAGCCTTCTGAAGAAACGTATTGGTGGACAGTGGTATGTGTTGTCAATTGTGAGACATAGGAGGAATGTAATGATTATTAAAAGTATTTATTTATACAAAATATTTAACATTATATTGGCCTATGCTAAACTGAGCGTCATTCAAGGACTAATCTAACAAGTTTCTCCATTCCATTGAACTTAAACATACATAAAATTGCATAACATTATAAAAATGTCAAGTTACAAAGCTAGGCCTAGTCTTTGTCCTCAATGCTCAGCAGTTAAGCACTAGGATTCTTAGCTAAGAACAATATTAAAAGTTAGGAGTTAGAACCATTTCACGTCCCTTTGTCAGGATTCAATTATTGCCCCAGCTAAATTGTGCCACTAAACTCCTTGCTATTGCAAAATATTTACCATCAGTTTTTTTCAGCACTGTTATATCTTACAACATACAGAACTATATTTTTCATCAAATAGCAGAATCTGAAATTGGTCGTGTACCATATATTTCCCAAAATACAAAGGAAATATACGTCACCTGCTTCCTGTTCCAGTCATACTGGCGCATACCAACTGCAGGAGCAAACTGAAGCAGTACATAACCCTCCCGAGATACTTTGAATGCCCCTGACTGCACATAGAAAATTAGACAGTCTATCACAGTGCAATATAACTTGTCCAGAAACGCTGGGACATAAGAAAAATAGAAGATCTTGTTGCATGAATTTACAAAACCAAATGTAAAAACAAACATACATCCAATGACGCAAACTCTGGAGGCCTGGGAGTCACCGTAAGCGCAGCTTTCCCTTTGTAAACCGAGTGACCCACATAAACCCTAGGCGGCAGAGCTCCAACTAAACAAGCAAACGGATGACACCAGGAAACAAATGAGTGAATTACAGTACCAATAATCTAAAATTCTAACTACCCCACCATTCAGTTATGGTTCTTGGCAGCATGAACTATTTTTCCTTGGTGGAAAATTCTGAGATGGGCAAACCAAAGGTTTTGGAAGATGAGAAACCCAGCTGAATCTCGGTGTCACTGGACAAAATGTTAGGTTTATTTTCTCAACAACCAAACAGAATTTAGCCCTGCAGGTCCATCATTTCTTCCAGAAGTCGAACGAAGAGGGTAAGAAGATGAACTAAATAAGGATAAGAATTATATACCAGCATCACTTCCGTTTGCATTTCTTGTGGGTCTGGTGAAGCTTTGTTGTTCGAAGTACTCGGATTGGCGGCATTTGATAGAAAATGGGTTTATGCGGGAGGAAGGGAGGTTGAGGGAGAAGTTGGAGCCACTGGACGTGGAAGAACGGCAAAAAGAAAGGGACTTTTTGGGATAGAAACTATGGGGAGGGCAGAGTTGAATGGAATAATGAGTTGTGAGTGAGGAAGAAGAAGACAGACAGTGAAGCTGCAACATCTCGGATTGTTGCCGCGAGTCCTTTCTTTTTCCCCTGGCTTTCCCGGCTAAGGTTGTGTTTGATTTCGTCTCACATATGGCAAAATACTCAATCCGCCCCAGCGGTTTTTCCCCGTTTTCCCAATGAACTTCGCCGAATCATCAACTCTTTATCTAAAGAAAAATATTCATTTTTATTTAGAGTTAACATAATATTTATTTCTTATTATTTCTGATCTTTAATATAAAGACTAGTTGACTAATTTGAATATATTAAAAAAAATAGTTAAATTAATTATTTGAAACAAATAAATGTAATTTTTCTTAAAATATCTTTATTAATCAAGTGTATTAATTAGAACTACTATTATTATAAGGACTATCTTAAAAAAAAATAATTACTAGAAACAAAGTAGACTGAAATCTTATATTTAGGACTAAAATAAAGATAAAACGAACTTTTATTTTAGAAACCGAAGGTAGTATAATTTATCTTCATTTTAATTTTAATTTATATAATTTTAAACAGTAAAAAATGAAATAATCCATGTTCTTGTCAAAATATATAAACTAACATACATATAGTTTGAAAGTATAAAAATCAAAATCAAAATATAACAAATTATAAGTACTAAGTATTTTAGGTAAGCGTATGGGTTTGAATTTTCACTAAGAAAAATGTTCACATTTACGTTATGTTTGGTATGGGATTTTTGAAGGGGAGGGGAGGAGAGTTGCTCCCCTCCCCTTGTTTGGCCGGTGTAATTTTTTAGGAGGGGAGGGGAGCCCTTCCCCTTCCCTCATTTGGTTAAAATGTTTTTTAAAGAGGAGAGGGATTCTTCTCCCCTCCTCTTCCCTTCTAGCCTCCCCTCCAAAAGTGAGGTTTTTTGGAAGGGAGATGAGAGATAATATTTTAATTCCTTATATATCCTTTTGATTTGTTAACCTCTAATCAGTCGTAAACATTTCTACATAAAAGAGTTTTTTTGAGCATCTAACAAGAGGTTATTAAGATAATTGTCTCCAAAATTAGTGAGCATTTGTAAATTTTTTTTTCTCTTCTTCTAATTCCAAGAGGTTGTTGATATTTTCTTTCACCTTCAAAGTCTTTTCTCTGATTGAAATCTATCACTCGTGACTTTTTATTTTGATATTCTATAAGTGTGTGACTATGTCTTGTAAATCAAAATTGGTGAATTGTATTATATATATAGTTATATCTTAACAAAATAAAAAAGTGAGAAAATTCATTTAAATTTTACGAGGTTAAAATAGTCAATTGTTTATTAGAACAAAATAAGGTATTATTAAAATTGCTTCCTCCCCTCCCCTCCAATCAATCCAAACAGGAGATCATTAAAATCCCTCCCCTCCCTTCCCCCTCCCTCCCCTCCCCCCTCCCCTTTGTAGCTATCCTCCCCTTCTCTTGATTAAAATCCCTCCCCTCCCCTTCCCTCTATCGAGCCAAACACAGTGTTAGTGTTCGATAATAAAATTGTCTTCAATAAGAAGATAAGTTTGCCTACCAAAAAAAAACTAAGAAAATATGATTGTTAGTTACTACAATATCATAACAAACAGATTTTTTTTTTTTAAAAAAAAAAGGAATGAGGGCGTGGCTTTTGCAAAGCACGAGTAGATGTGCTAAAGCTACGTCGTTCCAACGGAGGGTTGCAGTTGGACGTTTGAATAATTTGCATGTTTGCGTTCTGTGACGAGCAACCTCTAACCTAGCGTGCGAGGTGCCGAAAGTCCGATATAACGCTTGTTGTTGTTCTTCTTCTTCTCCTTCTTCTATCTCTACACCATTGCGGTTTCTGCTTCTGCGTTATGATAATAAGCCATGGCCATGCAGGCTGGAATTGGTGTTTCGAAAATCCTTATCTTAGCTGGAGCTGGTACTTCTTTTCCTCTCTCTCATTCAAGCACACTCTCAATGGCAACGTGAAGTTTAAACAGGGATAAGGATCTGGCTTTTTACAATTTTCAGGATACACTGGCACTATCTTTTTGAAGAACGGCAAATTATCAGACTTACTTGCTGAGCTCCATGTAATAATTCATGCTCCCTATAATGCTTGTTTAGTTTCATGTTGAAAAAGAAAAAAGTGAAACTAAACATGCTCTTCGTCTCTTGATCAAGCTTAATTGTATTCACATTAGCACAGCTACAAATGCAGTTTCTTTTTTCTTCTCTTGTTTTTGTTCCATGCATGTACGTAGTGTAAAACTTATTGGGTAAGTTTGGAATTTTCCCCCGCTGGTGGATTTTGTGCGGCTTGTTTGGAATTGAGGAGATATTTGTTTCAGACGAGTCCTTTGTAACTTTTAATCTGGTCATTATTCAACCTATGTTTTCTCCTGTCGTGATAACCTATTAGCTTACTTCTGTATGTAACTGGAACGCTTAATACAGCAGACAGGAGGGATTCAGGTGCACAATCATTATTTTTGGATATTACGGTTCATTTCTCCTAATGGGTTTTTATTTTTTATTTTCTGTTCTCAGCTTCTGCTGAAGAGATTGGAAAAACTTGGGGATCAATCTGACGGTGAATGTGAGAATGCAGATGTTATTGCTTCTCAGGTGATAAAAACAAATTCATGAATCAGTTTAGTCTTAATTATCTCTTTTTGTATGTTCCTGGCCCCAAAAAATGTTCTTGAAATTACTGATCTAGGTGGGTCGTCTAGCCTATGAAATACGACAATTGGCCTTGAATAGGCCGATACTGAATGGGAGTTCTGGGCAAACTGGTATATTCTAGCATCTACTCTCTTAAAAGGTTATTTTAGAACATAGAGCACATTGATCGCTGATGTGTTGTGAAATGCTGTACTTTTACTTCATTTATCACTTTTGAAATGTCTGTACTTTTTGCAGGAAATATATTATCCCTTGTGGCACCAGCGGCCGCCTTGAGTGCTCTGGGCTATGCCTACATTTGGTGGAAGGTACTGAACTATTAAGATATGGCATTTTTCTCCCTTATAGCAGGGTTTATTTTTTAAGATTTTTATTTAAGGTGCAAAAGTTTTTATGCTTATTTGATTGGCTGCCAGAACAGTTTGAATGGTTTTACTTATGATTTCTTTTTCAGGTGAAAAATTTTGCACACTGATCTTCTTTTTCTTTCTTTTAATTGTCAGGGCCTTTCATTCTCAAGTCTTATGTATGTGACAAAACGTGGCATGGAAAAGGCAGTTTCAGATTTGACCAAAAAGTTGGTGCATGCCTCAGATGTCATCGCTGTACGTGTTTATCTATTAAGTGAAATTTATATATTAGTTTGGCTCATGCATAAAAGAGATAGTGAGTTTTGAACAAGCGAGTAATGCACCATCTACCCCATGCTCTTGAAAGGTTTCCTAAAAGATGATATTCGTTTCATTGAAGCTAGAAATTGAAATAAATAGACATCATTAAATCAGCAAGAGGTGTGATGATATTTATGGACCCGAGCGTACTATGATGATTATGTAGGGTTATAATTTGATCATATTCATGTAATCATATCATTAAATATAGGTGCAAAGACGTGTGAATTTTGTAACATTCATATTGATGCATGTTTTAATTGCCTCCTATTCCTTTGTTTGCAGGATGCCAAGAAGCATCTGACGCAGAGGATTCAACATTTGGATGACAAAATGCTTAACCAGAATGAGTTGTCGCGGTCAGTTAAGGATGAGGTTTGTCCTTGACACATAAGTTTTATCTTTACGCTCGTATGCTTGTAAGATACACACAGTTATATTGACGGGTTTACTACTTTACTTATAAAATTCAACTAAACATCAGAAGACTAACACCCCTATAAAATTTTCATACTTAAGCAGGTTACTGGAGTTAGAAATGCTATTACTGAATTCCACGATGACTTGGTTAACTTGCAACAAGCAGTGGGAACATTGGTATGTTCATTTCATGACTTGGCTGATTAGTCGGAATCTTGATGGTCTTCGGTGAGGAATAATCTTCGTAGTCTTGCTTGTCTAGAATAATAATCTTGATAGTCTTCCATTTATTTATAGAAGCAGGAACTTCTTTAGTTTCAAGAGTACTCTCCTTTGCATTTAAAAATAAACATAATGTCTCCAAGTTTGCTTAATCTCAAACCTTGCTTTAGATGCCAACCCTCGGCCATAGAAAAAGAAAAATCTAGACATCTCTATTTTTTTGGTCCAAACAATTGATAAGTATTCATATGCCACCTCTATCTTTCCCTAACCCTCTGTCATTCTGATTCATTCTTACCATGGATAATTATGCGTTCCAGGATGCAAGGTTGTCTTCATTGAGTTGGAAGCAGGTAAAACTTTCTCGTCCCATTCAATAACTTATATCTGTGATCGTTTGCGATGATGTTGCATCCTCTTTTTTGGGGGGAAGATCATTATACTTTTTTTTTTTCGTTTGTTGAATTCTTCTTATGAGTCTTTTACCTTGAGGTTGGCAACTTGGCATAGATAAATAGTTTCTCTATTGGAATCTGGAGTCAAAGTTTCTTTAAAATTCATTGCACCTAAAGGAAATTTCTGATACAATAGCATGGTTGCAGGATTATGCAAATCATGGTTTAGACTACCTCATCGACTTTGTACATGGAAAATCAGGACAGATGCCTGAGTTTTTGCAGGTCAGAACCTCTAATTTATTTGTATCATTTTAGTTATGCTTGTGCTTTTTTGCCAGTTGCAACATTCTAATTACCCTCTCTGATTACTGAATATGTAAATATATAAGGATATATGTCTCTTTGTTGATGTAAATCAGCTACCAATCTACCACTTTCTTTCTGCTGTGGAAGTTAAAGTGACTGAGAACTCTCTAGATGAGTTTAAAAATCTTCTATTCAAATATCTTTTCTTGAATCACAATGCATGATAGATCATGACTTTTTTCCTTTTCTTCGCTGCACAATCACTAGTTATATTTCTTGAATTCTCCTACACATGGTTATGTGACGACCGTAATATTGGTAAAAATTCAGCAGAAGCAGCTGAAACTTCCTGGAAAGTCCCCTCGCCTGCTCACGTATAGTGGAAGCCCCAGTCTGAAGGTTTCTTTCTACTCTGTTCTCGTTATTTGTTTATCTTTTCCATGTGAGAAACAGGACGCGGATGTAAGGTCTGTTTACATGCTGTTTCAGTTAACTTTTAAAATCTATTATGGTAATGCTCACATACTTATCTACTTATCCCATCATTGACAACCAAATCTGATTTTACATTGTTTGAAAGCGAGCTTTGTTCCCTCCATGTCATGTTAGTTGTTCTTCTTAACAATGAAGTCATTCGAAGTTAACTTCTATTTTTCTCCATTAGCTTTCGTAATTTGAAACTGCTTCTCATATGATTCTGTCTAAACTTGCAGGGTCTTAAAGACATTGCGGGTTCATTATCTACGGGTCTGGAACAGTCAACTTCAGATGTAATCATGCAAAACAGGGTGGATAAACTAGAGCAGCACCAAAGGCTAATGTTGAGGTTTGAATTAATTCATTTTTGGTGTATCAAAGCACAGGGAAGGGTCTCTATAAGTTCATTATTTGCGTCTGATCTGTTGTTAATAATATGTGCTATTTGCTAACTGCTTCAATTTAGCTTGGTTCTTATTTTTGGTAATGTATTTTCTATCTGCATATTAAGATGTAATTAGGTAAGAAAACCCCGGAATACAACTGTTACCATAGAGATATCAGATGAGAAAAGAATGGGCAAGAGTGATATAAAAGTCAGCGAAAGTGGGGTGATGGTCTTCTGGTTTAACAAGTTTTTTTTTTTGTTGGCCAAACTGGTTTAACAAGTATTTAAATATGGGAGAGACCACAATTAACTGGAAACACCATCTTTTAAGATAATTCTAAATCCTAAAATAGACTTCTAAAATAACTAGTGCTATAAAATAATAAGGCTGTACAAAGGACAAGCTCAAGCTGTCCCCAGCTTAGAACTCTTTCCCTTGACATATTTTATCCTTAACACAGTTGAGATTTACATGATCTCAGGGATCTGAGTCCTCTCTCATCCGAAAAAGGATCTTAATAATCGCCTCTTCCCTTATTCTGACTTGGCCACACTTAATTTTGCAGGCTACTTCAATCAGGTGTTGATGACAAGGTCTTCAGCAGATAGTGACCCAGCATTTTGAATTACCTCTCCTGTGCTCTTCTCCCTTAGGAAGTTTTCAGATTCATTTTTTTTTCCCAACAGGCCCCTCACTGTTGTCGTGATTCTCTTGTTGTTTCCCAATCGACCATTAGATAAATGAAGCCTGCATGCATGGCTTCTTATGCTATATCCAGTAAATAGTGATTCTATGAGTATCGTACATAACAGAACATGTACTTCCTCTCCCCCCCCCCGGGGGTTGTTATAAACATTATGACCTCCACATGTAGTCTTTAATAGGTGTAATCGCCTCTAACTCAATCCTCCCAATGTATGAGGTAATTATAAACTTCTGCCAAGCAGGTCTCTGTTTTCAACATCATCGTCATCTTCATCACAAGTTTGATGTTCTAAAAATGAAAAATGGCAGGGGCTCTGAAGAAAAGTAGATCATTCATTGCCCCTGTTATGATTTTTTTTTAATATATATAATTTATTTCGTGGCAAAGTCTAGTCATACTTGAAATCACATATCAAGTCAGCATTTTCATTTATTTCAATTGAAAGTGTATTCAACGGGAACAGATATTCATTGCTTATCAATGTAACCAATTCTTGACACCCCCCCTTCTCGTTTAACTAACTAAAAATATTAATATCACTTATAACCAGGATGATATATTTAGTGTAACATTGACAGATGGAACTTTAAATAAGTAAGATTTATAGATAAATTTAGTTTATAAAAGATAAAATTATCCAATTTAACTATAAAACATATTTAGCATGTGTTAATTTATTTTTGCTTTTTAGATTGACATACCTAGTATTACTTAGTCCTGTCTCTAAAAACGTCAAGATAATAATTCCTGGCGCAACAACTTCAATCATATATTGACTTATAGGAGAGAATAAGTTCTCTTCTCTCTTAAGATCTACACAAACAATTACACAGAATATTCGTTTGCTCTTTACACTTCGAGATCTTTGTGACTTGATGTAGCCCTGAAGTTCTTCCATATAATTGAACAGCCCCATTTATGAACAGAAGAAGTCGCAGCATGCACATCTTATCAATTATTTGACATCCACTTATATTTTCATAAAGGAGATTTTACTCTCAATTGCACTTGTAAACAGCAAAAATCTCACAAATACAGTCAGTTTAAAGCACCATTCCACAGGGATTGCGTGGTTCTATGATACAATGGCCAAATGTTTTCTCCTGGTGACTCCATGCAAAATATGCTATTATTGGAAGGGCATAAGAAAGGGTTACTCGCAATTTCATGATCAAAAGCCACTCCAACCCCATCACTGCCTTCTTGTGGGATTTTCAATTCACTTTCTTCTGTTTCTTCTTTAGCAGAATTCAGATTCTTCTGCATCAGATCACTAAATACTGAGGATTTCATGAGAATCCCTAGTGCTGTTGGAGAAGGTGACTTGTTATTGCAAACACCTAGAGAGCTCCTGTATTGTGAACTGTCTTGCTTCTTTGTACTGTCAGAAGCACCAGCTGGGAATGGATGGAGTATGAAGTTGGATATCTGAGTGGTTCCTTCTGCTTGGACAGGGTTTGAGGTTGTCATGTTCTGAGGATCTGTGTTTGGCTTTCCCACTAGTAAAGAAGAAGAAGAGGGTTCTCCAGGTCTTAGCCATCTGACGTATGTGCTCAAGTCAAAATTTGTCACTGCATTTATGCCTCTGTACTCAATTGCTGCTATGTCATATGCTCGAGCAGCCTCTTCTTGTGTACCTGCAGATGAATACATTTTAGAACTTCAATTAGATATCGTATCAGCTCTACATCATGAAAATTTTGACCAGTAAAAACTAAGACCATAAGACTCAAAATCTCTTGACCCATCCTTGATCCGTGTCATTTAGGCTGAGAGATTGATGATATTATTGGAGTCTGTTATGTTATCATTCTGCATCACCCCAGAAGCTTAGATTAGGTAAAAATTCTTGTAATTTTGTGGCCCATTATATGATTAGTGAATTTGAAGATAAAGTTGCTCAGAAAATGTGATCGTATCAGGCTCACTTCTTTTCTGTACACTAAGAGAGAGAAACTCACTGTAAGTCCCAAGGTAGAGGTACTTGTTGCCAAATACTCTCCCTATCCTTGCTTCCCATCTGCCATTTTGATGGTGCCTGCAGTCAATTTTCTGATAACCTTTAGTGCTTAATAGTTCTTTACTGGAAACAAATATGTTGACTTTTTTGGCTTGAATTCAAAACTGTCTCACCTTGCTACTCCTCTGTACCTTGATACACCTCTAGAAAAACCACTGCTTCTCCTACAAAATGGTAATAAAGATCGTAAAACTCGCTGACAAATTAAAAATTGGTGGTGAAAGTTTTGCCTAAGGAAATGTAATTGAATTCTCTGAAGTCATGCTATCAATATTTTGCAACAAAGAATCCATATTCTAAAGAAATAAGTTTACCTTCTTAATGAAGCAAGGTATTCTTCTTTGGTTACCGTTTTCATGATCCCAATCTCTTTCTCATACTCAGACACCTGCAAAAGTTATCAGTTATTGCTTGAGAAATGGGTGTCAAATGGTGATGATATGAATGTAAGTCTCTTCCACAGTTCATTCACTATGGACATACAGGGAAATTTGTGCAAGTTGAAGTTCCCCAGTACTTTAGTGCAGCTAAATCATAAGCTCTAGCAGCCGCTTCTTCATCAGTATAAGCCCCTGGAATATAAAGCCATGAACGAGTAAATCACAGGAGGTTAGTTTCTATTCTCGTCAGCTTTCCAAGACGAAACTGTTCGTGGGAATCAGCACTTACCAAGATAAACTGTTCCATATCAGCAAATAAATCCACATTCGTCAACAACACAAAACAATAAAACAAGGAGCTAATGAGTAATCATATAATCCAAAAATAACATAAAAACCAATGAAAATTAACTAAATCAAGTGTTCAACATCTACGTACCTTGCTTCCCTTTCTTTTTCTGAGTTGGATTCCATGTTCCTTTATCCCATAGGTGAGCCTCAAACCTTCCAGTCCACCTATGTCTGCTTCACACCAAGATGTTGTTAGTTTCAAACCATTAAACAACCATTAACGTGACAAACTTAGATGGTTATCATAAAATTATTCATTCTGTACATGACGAAGTACAAGAGATTGTAATCAAACTTAGATCTTTTAAGCCGAACTTGTTCTGAACTCACACCTGCTAACTCCTCGAAACCTTGAGCTTCTCTTTATGGTGGTTGTGGTGGTGGTGGTTGATCGGTCACCCTGTGGTTGCCGTTCTTGTGGCTGTTCATTGGCTTCTAAGATGGCCAAAGAAGAATCTTTTCTCCTCCTTTTGCCAGCCTTACTAGCATCACTCTCACCACCATCCATCAAGTAAGAAATATGGCTTCTTGGGCTCAGTGCACATCTCACAGAGGCTAGCTCCATTTGCCACTTACTGCTTCTAAGTTTCTAAATCTTCAAGACAGACAAACAAATATGGAGGTCTGTTTTGTTTTGAATGGGATAATAACTTCATGTTTATGTCTGCCATATTTATACCTACATGCTACGTTTGTTTCCTGCTGAATTGGTTGTGCTTTTCTGGTCATGTCTGTTTTGTTAGAACAAGGACAAAGATTGGCGATGATAACATTACTTAAGAGACAAAGTTCAAGTCTGTTCTCATCCCAGAAAACCAATTAAGGATCCACAGCTCACAGCTTGTCGTTTAGGTAGAAACAAAATCATTCGGCTCAGCATAAGAGATCGTTGTACAGAGAATTATCCTTAAGATGATGATATCAAAGTTTTAAAAATAAATATTATTTATAGTATCTTCTTTCTGCCCACCTGCAGCCATTGCAGAACTGTAAGCAGACATGAATACTATGCCTAGGTTTTACACTTAACCATAATGTGAATGACAGGAAATAAGCTGAAAAGAATGAGACAAGGAATATTATTTGGCTTCATACGTTACACTTGTCATGTTTTGATTAAAAGAATTCAAATTGATCTTTATTTTTTAGTTGTATTAAGCTTATCATGAAAGTGTCCAGAGTACAGCTAAGAATTCAAATTGGTTGAGTTTCAAGTTGACCCAAATGAGCGTGAATATGAAGAATGACGTCCATTAGCCTCTCTCTTTTTTTTTCAGAAAAAATATTAATTTTGACCATGTAAAGATTGAAAATTAATAAATATTGGTAAATTTATGAATTGTGCAATTCAAGTTCAACTCATAAACGGATGCACAATTCTCTGAAAACCGTAACAATACCGTACGAGCTTCACAAAAATTGTACAATTTAAGGAACAAATATAGACAAACAACAATGAGACTATGAATAACAAACAAGCATCAACTTAGAAGATGTTAGTTTTTTGGGAAAATCCCACAAAATTACTCTTAAAAATTTCATAGTTCCAAATCAAGAATGACAACAAAAAATTTGTTGTCATTTATTTTTTAAATATTGTTAATTATTATTAAAATATAGTAAACAAAATTAATTTGAAAATTTAAAATTTAAAGATATTTTTTTGGGATTCTCCCTAGTTGTTTTTCCAACCGAGTACCAAATAATATTTAATCATATCTCCCCCATTGTTTCTATTATAAAAAAAACCTTTAAAAAAAAAGGCTTATTCAGGCCGATTCAAACAAGCCCTCATTGGTAGTTCGGCCCTAAAATTTAGCAAGCTTATTTGAGTTGGTTGGACAGGTTAAGTTTGACTTCCGAACTCTATAATTTAAGGTATATTATTTATTAGAGCAATGGAGAGAAATTTGTGTAGTCTTTCAAGTGAAACCAAAATAATGTAATATTAATAATACGACCATTTTAAATTTTCTACATTTTTTATATTTTATTAATCCAAAATTTTGAAAAATGAAACTGAAAAAATATTGTTTTATTTAACATTTCATTTCCTTTAGAGCAAAATTAAAAAACCCTGAAAAATATAGATAATTGAGATCAAATCTAAATAATTTAAATTTTTTCCTGACCCTCGACTCGATACAAGATCTTCAAAAGAATCTAAATGCTCCAACAGAGCATGTAAAATCAGGAAATTATTTGAACAAATTCCTTGAATTCTTCGTCAAAAAAAGAGTATATTTTGTTGTATATATGGATTGCTCGTCCCCTAGCGTTAAATTCCTACAACCTATATGGCAAAAAACAGAGTATATGAGCTTTCAGAACTGTAATTCCTAAGCAAAAATGTCTTTGCATGAAATAACTGTTACATGTCAAACGTTTTATTAATATTTGGAATATTACCCCTGATCCTTAAAATATAAGAGCTCGTTTGACTTTTATTTTGATTCTAAATATAATATTTCAGTCCACTTTGTGTCTCATATTTATCTATTTTTTCTCAACGTATTTCTTATAATAGTAATAATTCTAGTCAATACACTTAGTCAATAAGAATATTTTAGGAAAAATAACATATGTTTATTACAAATTACTAACATAATTATTTTTTTAATCTATTTAAATTAGTTAATCAGTTCTTATATTAAAGACCGGAAGTGAAACTATCAACTTATTCATACGAATAAACAAGATCAAGAAAAACCCCATTTTAAAATGTTGTTAAAAAAATAATTTGTTGTTGGACTGTTCTTTGTATGTTCAAATTGTATGGATATTTTACTTGGCCATTCGACTGTTTCTCAATGATTAACTAATATCATTATCAATTAAATCAATATCATTATAAAAATTTCTCTCAATGGCTCATAAATAGAACAAAAAAATGTCTTCTCTTAAGAGCAGAGGAGTACATCGTAATAAATAAGATAGGGGTGGTTAACTGGGTAAAAACATCATGTTGCTCGATATGCTACTTTGCCCGTGAAAGTATAAGAAAAGAGTTTTTTTTCTTTTCAGATTAGTTTTCTTTGTCTTCAGTTAGTTAAGTTAGTTGAAGCTGTATTTAGTTTAGAAATGTGCACACACGTGAACACTGTTTCATGTTCCCTTTCGTTTGGGTTCCCTCTGGATTCTATTTCTGACAGGCGATTTACAGAAAGAGTTAATGTATATAATGCTGCAAAGTGAAGCTTTTATTGTCTCGGCTTTAATTCTACAAACAGACAAAACTGGCTGAAAGAGAGGGAAACAAAGACAAAAGTGCGAGGTGCAAAAATGAAACTATCATCTATCTTCTTCTCATCACACACGGGTGCGGCACGTAAGTTTCAAGATAATAAAATCATATTGTGATAAGGGTGTTCAACGTAGGTGAATATAGATTAGATATGTAGTACATGGTAGATTGTTGGTGGGGATGAATAAATGGTGTGATGTGAGAGACGATTTGTGAAAATTTTCAATTCATACTTTTTTTCCTTCTATATAAACTAGGGGTAACAAAATTAGAAACTATAGAAAAGGATCGATCACAGTTCGGCGAGCTCCGCCTTGCCTGCTCTGTCTTCTTCTTCTTCGTCTTCGTCATGATCTCATTTGCCAAGGCTACTCAGTTTAGGCACCCAAATATGGCGGAGGCTAATTAGCAGGGCTTACCCACATGGCACCTGATGATTCCGGAGAAGCGCGTGAGTCTTGAAACGTATGATCCAGGCTTTCCCTTGAGCATGTCACTCGTTGCCACTGGAAGCTGAGTCCCAGATTCCGTGAACGTAGCTCCGTTCATGAGTAGGTCGTTGACTGATCTCCATTGCCAGTTCTTCCACACGTCCGGTGGTGAGTAATCTCTCTTACAAACCTTCACCAACACCAATCAAAGTATAGCAATGTTAGGGATCAATGCTAACTCCGTAAACATGAATAATAGTTGTTTGACGAATTGCCCATAGGAAATTTGTTGAGTTCCTAACATAGTAGTTTAAGATAATTAACTGGTGCAGACTATATTGATCAACGGGTCTTAAAACTATGATTCGTTCGTTCTTTTTTTTTCCCCCCCCCCCACCAAACAGTAGATGAATGTTTAATATATGTGTGTGTTAGCATATATACCTCTTTGGCAAACAGGTTATTCGGGGCTATGAATCTGTTACCCTCACTGATTATGGTAGGATGCTGGCTGCCGCCAATGGCGTACATTTCCCAATGAGTATAGTCATTGTTAACCACATGAACGAAACCCCACCTGCACCTTGGCATCCTCTGGATTAATCCCTGTCCAAAGTGATTGAATGCTACAGTGATTTGCATAATCTGGTCTCCTGCATAGCTGTCACTGGCGCCAAACAACATCACCTGCATCATACGGCGCCGGAAAATGTTCAGGAAATGGTGTTCCATTTCTAAACCCAGTTAGGGAAAAGACATCCCAATTTGATTTACCTCATTGTGCTTTGTGAAATGGCTGTTGGAGATGGTAATGGCTGTGGATCCCATGATGGCATCGACAAGTCCATCTTGGCAATTGCTCATGGAAACATGATCAATCCAGATTTTGCTGGACCCAAAGATTGAAATCCCGTCACCATCGCTCCTTGTCCTTAGACCAAAATGGGCTTCACTATCTCTAATCAATCCACCACTGGTAGACACTATGTTGAAGATCTTAATGTTATGAATGATCACGTTCTTGACAAACTGGATGGTAATGCCGGCCCCTCCGGTGATTATAACACTAGCCCCTCTGCCATCAATGGTCTTATCCCCAGTCATAATTAGCTCCTGCTGCAGCCTAATCACCATGCTGCGTTGAAAGATAATCCACAAAGGACCGTTCCTTGTAACTGCATGCCTAAGGGTACCTTCTTTGGGGTTAAGCACATCATTATCCGAGGGATCTGTTACCACATAGTATCGACCACCCTTTCCACCAGTTGTGCCTTTCCCGAATCCTAATGCACAATCAGCCAATTTCTGGCGGTTTTTTTCCCAGTTGGGATCGCATCTCCAGCACCTATCAATTGGATTGGTGGCCAGGCACGGACCGCCAAGACGTTGTCTCAAGTTCCTTCCTTCATCCCCTTTGTCAAGCAGCATTCTGTTTGTGAACAACATCGGGAGTCAGCTTATTATTCAAAAGTTCCCTTTAAGTTCATTTTGCTCTGGTATGACTTCTAATTGATCACAAAGATGTGTGAATAAACATTTTCATTATGAGTTTTATTCAAATCATGATGATTGGTTTGGTTTGACTACGTTACCGATATCATAAACCTTACCTATCAACACTAGCGGTGAGGTTGCCTACGACATCATAGGGGTTAGATTGAAATTCTTCCTTGTTGGCCTTTTCAGCTTCATTGGCTCTTTCATGCCAATACTGATCAAATTCACCGGCATGCCCTTTCCAGTAAGTTTCATTCTCTAACACATTTGCATGGAGGGTAGGAATGGCTACCCAAAAGATCAAGAAAAAGAAAGAAAATAAGGGACTATTTCTGTTTATTTTTCCCATAGCTATTTTTTCTTTTGTTCCAACCTTTTGACCTGCAAAAGGCTGAGAGTGGCCTCAGGTTTATTAACAATTCTCTACACCAAGTCCCTGAAGCCAACTCCAGCCAAAGCCAAATTATTATGGAACCCTCTTTTTGGCAATTATTGAACTGATTCACGAGTTAGCTTATCCCATCAAACAATTAGATGCTTCATATTTAAAGGAGGAGTTTCTTGAGCATGACATTAGCATAAACAGTAAATATCTAATTTTGGACGAAGCTGGAGAAACACAAGGCTGAAAGAACGGACAGTTACCAGTTTTTGGTTAAATCAGAGTTGCCTTGAGTTTTTTAATTCATAAAAGTTCCTTAATTTGAAGCCTCTTCTACTGATCCCATTCTATTCATAGCAACAACTCATCATCTTTTAGGTCGTATGTAGTCTTTAGGTAAATGGGGTGTTGTTGGTTTGGTTTGCCAAGAAAATTGGCAAACTTGCTAATCCAATTGCTGATCCTGATAGGGAGGAGATTAAAGTTCATGTAAACCATTAATTTAAAGTTAATTATATTTTTTTTTTTGAAGTTTTATGAAAACTATATGAATATTGTTATAAAATTAACCAACAATGAAAGTAGATTGGAGAAGAGATGTAGACAAGAAAATGAGAGAATGATATTGTATATAAAGATAGTAGAATCATGAAAATATAAGAAAAGTAAGAAATAAAAATAAAAATTTTCATATCTCAATATGATGAAGAAGATATTCGATTGCCAATGAATTAATATGGTTAATATGCAAAACCATCTTTTGTTCTAAATAAATTGGAGAAATCTTACGAAAATGTTCAGATCAAACTATCTTCATTCAACAAACAAAACCTTAACGTGTGTCAACTAGGAGCCATGAACTCTGATGGTAGAGTCTCGTGCTGATAACGTGTTATGAAATTAACCAACAATAAAAGTATATTGGAGAAGAGATGTAGACAAGAAAATGAGAAAATAATATTGTATTCTTGAGAGGGAAAAGGAAGAGGAAGAAGAGGAGATGAACATCCACATGTTGTATATTCATAACAAATATGAATATTTTTGTTGTTTTTAAAGTAGGCTATACTTTTATTAAAAGTTATATTACAATTTTATTTATTTATTATTATAAATATTTCTTTTAATAACTCAAGTACGTATTTTTGGTTAATTTAGTGATAATGAATTATAATTTTTTTTATTTGAGAAGAAAATATAATCTTATCTTTTTTTAGCATACTCTTTTTATTTTTATTTCTACATAGATCATAATATAGATTGGTATATGCTTGTTTTTTTTTAACTAATTATTGAAAAAATTAATGAAAAATTTAAATAGATCTACATTTTGAATATAAAATTTATGTTTTGAAATTTCTAAAAAAAGTGTATAATGAATTATTATTTTACGCTTAATTTTAAATTTCCACGCTTGGAACTTCGAAGAGATGCGAAGATTCACATTGTGCAGTTGAAGTACCCAGAAATTTTTCATGTTAAGGGTATATAAATAGTAATTTTTTTTTTCAGATATTACATAAATTTAAACAAATTAGTAATGCCTTACTGTCAAAATAAAAAATCCCCGCATAAATTTTAATCAAGGTAAGAAAATTTATTAAGAAGAATCACCTTGGTTTCTTTGCAAGAACTTTTTTTTAGTGTGTATAACAGTATCTTTTATTAACGATTAACGATTAATTCCATTCATGACCAAGTTCAAAGAATGATAGCTTGATTTGCACCATAACGGTGAAGACATTCTTCGAATTTATGTCTATATTTTTTGCAATGATGTATTTCGTAATTAAAAGAAGAGTCAATATCATTGTTGGTCTTTTACAATTTGATTTAATTTTAATTTTAATTTTTGTTTCTCTAATTTTAGATCCTTAGTTTATAATTTCTAAATCTCAATTTAAGTATAAATACCAAAATAAAAACTCATTAAAAATATAGGGATCATTCCTTGAACAAAAAAATTATGAATTGATGGGGATCTCAAATTCAATCAAATTACAAGCACTAACAACATTATTAAAGAAATAATGATATAGATGAATGAAAGTGTATATGAAAGTTTGGGGTTATTCCCTTCTTTAATTTTACCGTCTACTCTTTTTTCTTCTTCCTTGGGATACTTGTATTCTATTCTTTTTTATTTGTTTAATTTAAATCATTATTTTTGGCCAATTGGTAGTTGAAAAATGAATATTACGTTATATCCTTTACTTAAAATAGAAAAATAATAACGCAATTTTTTTTCTTTTTGCACAGGTAGTATTAGAAGCAATCTTACTGCTGCACTACAATCTAAATCATTGTTCTTTATTTTCTTTTTAAAAAAATACACGGGAAAAGAATACTACTAACTAGCAGTAAAAGAATTTAAAATAACATGAAGAGAGTCAGGCCCAAGGATTCGAATAGTTGAATGGCCTCGCTAGAGTCACATATGAGAATGACAATCTAAACCATTGTAATTGTTCCTTTTGTGGTGAAGAAATCTTTCTCTCTCTCTCTCTTGTGTTAGATACAGGAATCTTTTGTATTGAATGTAACTTCATTTAAAATACTGTCAAATACTAAATGTGAATATTTTTTCTGACGGAGATTTAAAGTTTTATTCATCAACAAACTAACGTGAGAAACTAGTTCTTTTCTGTTGGGTTAAAGAAATCTTTCTATTTCAAAGAAAGAAAAGAACTTGTTCCTCCCTATTTCGGCCTTGCGAATATGGGGCCACTGTTACGTTGGGCTTAAGGGGTGACATTTCGAAAATATTTAACCCCCAAAGAATTTTCTTGAGAATAAAATTAACTTCTTTACAGTTCTTTTTTTTTTTTTTTTTGGGGGTCTTGGCCATCTTATATATACACACTTCTAGTTACACAAAAATGTCACTAACTTAATCTGTTGATCAGCATAAAAACCACAATGGTTTATATATATACTTTACTTGATATAAGTATCTTCTTATCGAAGACAATCCTATTTCAGACATTAAATCTATTTTAGTGGAAATTTAAACCTTAATTCAGCGGTTTATATATTTTGATCAAACCAGATGTTTTCATAATAGACACTCTTTCCTCTCATATCCTAAGAGACCTATATCATTGAATTCTTTTCTCAATTTTTTCACCACCACAATAACAATTGCTTTTTTCACCCCACCATCATTGCAACCATTTCCACCGCGTCTGCCACCATCATCATACGTAACAATTTCCCCCAAGAAATTAGAACCCAATTAGAACCACGTAAACATGAGACTCCATGAGCGTAATAGGCTAATCCTAAATTAGAACCTCTTCAAAGTCAAAACTCGGAGAGCCTACTGATTATTAACATTGTCCAGTGGAATAAATATGTCAAAACTATCTCAAGAACTGCAACTATTTATACATGTGATTGCTCAAACCTCAAAGTGAAAATATCTTCATCCAATTAGACAAGCCAGCCAAATTTAAGAACCAATTCAATAAATTTCGCTCGGTAACTGAAGCGTAGATTTCTTTTCCCATATATTTTCTTAGACATGCATAGTATACAAATTCAAAATTTTGCACCTAGTTTGATTCGTATACATTTGCTATATGCACTATGTATCGTAAATTGGCCCTGCGATTCATCACAAGAACCAAGAGTGATCATCCTTGATTACTGAATAAAATATACGGGGTCAAATTTGAATTTGCTCCATCTACAATGAACACGTTTGAGGTGACAAGGTTCATTTTCTGACCTAACCACCACTAACAATTTACGGAAAAAGCAAACCAATGGAAAAGATATTGACCTTCTTACACGAATGGGATACTCACCAAGCACGTATCCTCTATCATTCATTGATTGAAACTCAAAATTCTTGGAAGTAAACTCCCAAAATCATCCATTATTTATCTCAACTTCCTTTCCTACAGGGTTAAAGATGCTAATAACACTAAAGATGCATGTCAGTCAGGATTTCACGAGCACAACAAGAATTGGCTCTATCCTCAGAAGGATTTTTCACTTTTTTTTTTTTTGGGGGGGGGGGGGTTGTTGTGGAATTGGAGCTTACTACTCGTTGCATGTGATGTTCCAACAAGAGGTATTTTAGCTCCGCAGCTTGTTCTACTTTGGCTTGCCTTCATTTGGTTTAGGAATTTTCTTGTACTCATATTTGTTGATGTCCACCTTCTTTTGTAAGTCCTATAATAGAGAGAATATAAGTTAATTTTATTTTTGTGTAAAAAGAATATAAGTTAATTTTTCATGATGCATGGATTTACTAATGAAAGGGGGGGAAAAAAACTACCTGTAACTCCTCCTCCAATGAAATTTTTCTTGGTTTATACGCATCCACCGGCCCAGTTCTAGACAGTGCTTTTCTTGTTTCAATTATTTCCCATTCTTGATCATCTTTCACCTTTGCAATGTCCTTGCTGAAACGATACAATCCCATCACATTTTAAAAGGAGAATAGAGTAAAACAAGATGGACGTTAAACTAACAAAGGTAAGGTGATATAGCACAATTAAGGGCCAATTTGTTTAGGATTGGAAAAAATGACATTCGTTAAGTTAAACATGAGAAAGTTGTTCAGAACATCAGAGTTGAGAATCTCAAACTAAACATGAAAGATGTGTTGGGAAAAATATGTTTTCAGCATTGATAACCTAAAAAGATTTTTTTCTAACAAAACTCTTATGATTAGCTTAATGATCTCCCAACAACTTTACACAAAGCCCCAGTAAAATCACCTTTTTTAACCTTAAGCAAACTGGCCCTTAGCATAGGTTACCAAAATAAGCGGAAATTATACTTTTTTCCTTAACAAAATCTTTATGATTAGCTTAATATTCTCCCAAAAACTTCTTTATGTCAAGCTTAACTTAAATCACTCCTTTTTTTCTAATTGGTGCTAATCTAATTTTGCATGAATGCCGCATTTTCTTTCTCCCCCCTTTCCTTTGTTCCCAAACATAGCCCTATGCAAAGGATAAAATGATACGCGGACCGGGAAGACTCAAGATCTTCAGCAGAAATAGCAGTATAGCAGAGTAAAGATACTTGTCACTTACAACATGGGGGGAGCATTTTACTAACCTGCCTTGCAAGAGATGACCAAGTCCAATAGTCCCAAGGACGGTAAGAGAGATCATTGGAAGCCCATATCTGACAAATGGATATTTTCTACCCCATCTTTTAAATGAAGATGCTGAATTCTGAGCCTTAGCAGTTTCTTTGCAATTCAGATCAGTTCTTTGAGGCTCTCCATGATTATCTGTCTGAATGGTAGTCATTGCTAATTTGCTAGACAATGTTGAGATTTGGCAAAAACATTGAAGGAATGACCCTGATGATCTCAGTGATTAGAGTGAGATCGAATTTTAATAAATAATTTCTTGAAAACCTGAAAAGGGAAAGGGACAAATCAGTTAAAACATGAAGTTCAACATCACGTTTATACTACTAAGGACATGAATGACAAAACGAATCGTATTAATATTCTAGTCTTCACACTTCCCTCTAATATTAAAATGCAGATACCAGTGAGCTTCCTAGCACCAAACATCAAATAATATTCTACTATTTATTTTCTAAACAAGTTTGATCCGCTCAATGTATAAAAAAGATGAAGCAAAATCCAGAGCTTCCAGTCTCAGAAGGCCTTGTTCAGACAAGCATTTAAGCCTCTAAAACGCAGTTTAAAATTCCAGAACCATGTTTTGAGAGATGTCGCTCCAGAGTTGCTTCCATATTTAGCGATTGCGCTGGAAGCATTAATAGCAAAATTAAAATTCTTCACTACCAACAATACCCTCATCTGATTATGAATGATTGCAGAATGAAGCAAGATCGGAATCAACTAGTTTGTCAAACCCATAGGTGGAGCTATATTACACTCAGCTCCCCCACCGAATTCTTTGAAAAATGCATAATTGATATCGTGCCCTTTCAATTTTCGTTCCAGATACTTCGACTAAGATGCCTTAGCAAGCCAATTAATTCAGGCACCGTCTTCAAGCCACTGAAGAATGACAATTTAAAGTCGAGCTTCTAGATTGCTAGACACAACTCGAGCCAGGTCATTTACCAGATTACGCAGGCAAATACCTTTAGAATTTTCTAAATGGACGATAATACAAAGAAATTAATAAGCAGAATGCCAATACACAACAAATCCACAAGAAACAATCCAAAGCATATTAGTCGCTAGTAATCAAAATACAGAGGGCAGAAGCATAAAATGAAAAATTTACAACAAAACAAGAACCGGAGGGACGGCGTCCAATACAGGCTTGACAACCACGCAGCGAACAGATGACGCCGGGAACAAATTCAACTCTAAATTCAAAGGCAGATTGAACCATCAATCTCACGGAATTCTGGGAGTAATAGTAGCAAAGCCGTAATTCGTTAATACTTACTGGAGACAACCACGCAGGACTGACAACAGCGGACCATTTCCAACGGCGGGCTCGACCAAGTGCGGAATAGATCCGCTGCTTCTATGATTAATCTAGACGATCAAAGTCCCTTTGATAGTTTTGAATATTTTTTATATATTCTTATCGATCAAATTATGATTTTAAAAATACTTTCACGGTTTACAAAATAAATATATAAAGAAGTTTGTTTTATTTTGTAAAAAAATGCTTCTAAGAAATATTTTTTAGAGTTACCAAACATCCCCTTAAACTCGTATACTTACTCCATAACTAATAATCCAAAATACTATAGAATAATCTAATTTTGTGGGGTTGAGTTGCATCCAATCCCAGAAATATTTTCTGAACTGTATTTAACACTTTAAAATATTATATGGTATATATAATATTTTAAAATATTTTTAAATATATTCAACACCTTAAAGTATTTTTTTATTTTGATACTAAATATATAAAAAAATATTTTATAATACTGGATGTACCTGAAAAAATAATTTAGAATATTAGATACATCAAAAAATACTTCAAAATATTAGACTAGACACACTTTAAAAAATATTTCAGGTGCTAGATAACCTCAAAATACTTTAAACTACTAAATGCACTCAAAAAAAAATTTCAACGTCGTAAATTCACCTTAACCCTAATTCTGTGTTTATATGCTTTTAATTTTAACAATAATTTTATCAAACTACTAAAGGACTCCCAAAACTTTAAAAAAAAAAAAAATCTATTTTTACCAGTTTTTTTTAATTTAACACATATATGTCACAATGATGTGCTGATAGGTGCGTTATAAATTAACTTGACAAAGTTGGTTTTTATTCCAATTAATTTTTTACAAATTAAAGTTGAAATATTTTATTTTTTGTACGAATATGCCAATGTATATACAACTCTTCCATACCAAAAAAAAATATTTATACGAAAAAATTATTTTCATTTTTCTACTCCATTCCTTCAAAAATTCCATCAATTCAAACGGGGATCTAGACTTTTGTTGATTCAACCTTTTATTATGTTGAGTTAGGCAAAAAAACAAAATTAATGAAATGTCAATAAAGCCGTAAAAGATTGGCAAAAAAAAAAAATGATGAAGTCCCAATGATCTTTCACTGGAAAAAAGAAGAAGAAGAAGGAAAAGACAACATCACTCCTCCCTATAAGGCAGTAGCTCATGTGACTCCAAAATGCCTACCCTTCCTCATACTTATCAATTATTTTCAATACATTATGGGAACTTACATAAAATAGAAACCAAAGTTCAAAACTTTGATTGTTTTTGGTCGAGAGCATCTTTTGCCTCTCAACAAGAAAAAAGATAAAAGAACAAAGTATTAATGGTGTTATCATAGATTATGTATATCTATATTAACTAGTTACACGATTTTTCTTTTACTAATAAATTCTCTGCTGACAAGCTATATGACATCTTAAACATAAATGATGTTACATGCTTTGATTCAAAAAAAAATAGGAATGCCGATGTATTTTCTACATGAATACTTTTGTCGGCAAATATGTTCTTTAACCTAAAGTCAATTAATCAAGGGGCAATGTTGTGACAATTTTAACACTTGATCGGCAACACAGCTTTAATAAATAATTTGGGATATCAAGTGCTCTTCGCAAGATAGGTTGAGTGCAAAAATCTCCTTTAGCACTTCTAAACTTTAGGTACTAGCGCTGATGTTGCTAACAACTTCAAAAGGTTTGGCATCATAAGCTTCAAGGTTGGCTTTTTCAGCTTCGTTTGCTCTTTCATGCCAATATTGATCAAACTCAGAGGCATGCCCTTCCCAATATGTCTCATTCTCTAACACATTGGCTTGCAGGGTAGGAATAATAACTACCCAACACAACAAGAAAATCAAAGAAAATAAAACCTTGTTTTTGTTTCCTTCTTCCATATCCTTGTTCCAAGTCTATCGGACGAGACTGGTTTTAGATTTAAGATAATTGTATCCACCCAATCCTTGAAGCCAAATTCAGATCAAGCAATGAAATGTTTCATATTTAAAGGGGGAGGTTTTTAAGTATGATAGAATCAGAATCAACAGTAAATATCAAATTTTCGAACGAACTTCAAAAACCACAAAGCTAAAAGAACGGGTAATGGCCAGTTATTGGGTAAACTAGCTAGGCTTTTTTTTTTTCCCCTACTAATTAATAGTTCATTAGTTTGAAACTAATCTGGCTTATCTCATTCCATTTTTAGAAAAGATGCATTTCCTTTTTAAGGAAATGGGTGCTGTTGGATTTGATTTGCCAAGAAAAGAGGGATCGAAAGTTGCCATCCAAATGTTGGAAACAACTAGAAAGACTCGAGTTCATATAAATAGTCAATTTAAAGTGATTTAAAAGTAAATTAAATAGCTTCTTTACATTTTACTAAATTTGTATGAACATCTCTTGCATTTCAGTTAACGTTTTTAGTTCTTGCTATCACAATCATTACACATTAAGGATGTTGTCTCCCAAAAAAAAAAAAAAAATTGACCCAAGTTCGCCATAAATGTAGGGATTGAAATTTTTTTTTTCTAAATTTCATCATAATAAAAAAAAATGAAAGTTGACCCAACTAATTAATCCAGACCATGTCATACAGCATTCAAGAAAGTCTATAAACATGTGAAAAATAAAAAAAGAACAAGAATTTTTACAGCAATTTTATACACATATACCCTGCGTTCATATAATAAAATAAAGTTAGCATTCATGCCAATAATACATTTCAATCATGTTCACAGTTGATGTGAATTATGAAATATAAAGTACACTATGTATGATACAACTCACTTCAGATGAATTTGCATTTGGCCAAAATGCTACCATCCTCTGCAACCTGCTCCATAATGCTTCTTTAATGGCTCCAAGTCTTCACACATTCTCTGCAGCAGTATGGCATGACTGACTTATCTGCTATACAACCATCCCATTACAGTATCCTGTGCTTCGGTATTTAGACTCTCTCTCTGTTGAGACAATGTTACATGCAGACTGGAGATTAAGCAAATTGAGTTGATGATAGGTAAAAATGCTTACAAGTCAAAAGAATCCACTTTTGACATGCTTTGACTTGATCTATACTTGATCTAAGAATCATTTTGTACAGTGAATTTACTTGAAGGATCTCTCAGAAGATACATTTGGTGTGATTTGGTCAGTACTTATGATGCCTCCCAAATCTTATAGTCTCTTCCCTCAAGGGCTGAGGACCATCTTTGAGACCCATTAGGCGGCTCAAAATGGCCAGGTCCAATCTTCATAGCAATTTTGTCGTCAATGATGGCCGCATACACATCCCTTTCTGCCTTACAAATTCGAACCTTGCATTAAAAGAAAAACATTGGGATGCAACAATGTCAATTTGCAGCTGAATTTCCATCTCAATTACGTATTCTAAGTTTGCTCGAGAAAATATGAAGAGCAAATATAAGCATGTAACATCAAACCCAACAGAAAATCGAAAATCACAATATGTTTTGACTCCAATCACTAAAAAAAGCTACAGCGAAAACATGAGGTATCATAAGGACACCACTTGGTTGTCCAATTACATCATCATCGTCATCCATGAATTATATTTTCTTCACATAATTACCTTCACTCTTTTCTCCTATGTCGAAAAATATAAAATTTGAACTGGTTTGACATGCTAAGAAAAAGTTTCTTGATCATGGACATCAGAGAATGTCCGCTTACAGCCAGTGTCAAGTATTCAAGGCAATATTCAGATACTTACTGTACTCCTACAGTGGATCTTGTTTCGTTTCCTGATCGATACAAGTGCTTCTATTTCACTATAATAGTGAGAGAACATATGGTCAAAGAACACCGTTGGGGTGCCTGGGTGAGTAAGAATGTAAGCATATCCTTGCATTTCTTTTCCACTGGGAAATCTCCAATGACCCTTCAAGACAATACGAGAGAAACAGTAATATTACAAACTTGTTATCCCTGCAAAAGGAGTGGAAGCAGAGACCTATATTTATTTTAAAAACTTATGATTTCATTATTACATAACTACAAATCTATATGTAGATATATACGTCTTCATCACAAGAAGACAATCTGAAGGAAGATAGATTGTTCAATTTGAGAATTTCTGACGGTATAGGTAGTATTATAGGTGAAGCAGCATTGAAGGAGAGACAAATAGAAACAGATAAAAGAAGGCTTCAAAATTGAAAACTTCGCTTCCTGCTTGGAGTAATGGATGAATTCTTCATTATATTCCACCAGTAGAAAATGTTTTCTTGTCATGATTTTTAAATAGAAAAGGTTCAAACCTGGGTAGAACCAGTGTCGTGATTTTCTATAAAGGTAACAGCACGAGAGGGCCACCATCCAACAACACCAGGGGGTTTTCCCTTTTGATCAGATAATCGCCAATATTCACATCTTTGCAATGCCTACATGAATTAGAATATATGATAGATACTGTCAGATTTCACAATAAAGTTCCTCTAGTTTTTATGAAGCCACAGAAAAGGTTCCATATGTTTTAGTTAGAAAATACTCTCTCTGGTGCTAAATATAAGAGCTAGTTAGAGAGTTACTTTGGTCGTAAATATAAGACTTGAGTTCACTTTGTCTCCCAAATTTATAATTTTTCCCAAACAATCCATATTGATTGCAGGGGTTTCCATCAAGTGGAGTTCCAATGCAAAAGATTGAAAAGGGTATTTTAGGAAAATCAACACACATTTTTAACCAATAACTAACTTAGCTAATTTTCTTAATATCTGAAAATTAGTTATTTAGCTTCTATATTGGGGACCAGAGGTTATCACATAAGAGGCTAAGGTTGTTTACATCAGTACAGTGGCACAAACAAGAGAGCCTTATGAAATGTGTGAGTTGATATTTATATTCAATGGAACATAAATATAACTAGCAATATAGTTCTCTCTTGTCCAAACAACTTTCAAAAGCGCCCTATCACTGATGAGTATGGAATTTTTTCAAAAGATATACCATCATAGAAACAGTCAAAGTAATTCAACAATTTTAGAAACAGAGTATAATGTCTTTATTCAAAAAGTTGCCAACAAATTCCAGAAGAAAAGAGACCCAGCATGTCATGAAACTATCAGGATAAGAGCTTACAGAATGAAGAATCCCTTTTGTTGTAACATCAAAGGCACCAGCAGTACCACTGGTAGCATTGATCCAGTCAACGATCCTCTGCCTGTGTGCATCTTGATTATGATCCATTTCACCGTATGTATAACTGAGGGAATCCCAGTACTCTCCTACAGCAAAGTAAGGTTCACTTGCATCCACGTAGTCCTTTACATAACCACCCCAAAACCCCCTGACAAAGTCAAGCCTCCATCCATCATACCCTATTTCTTCCCTGACAATCCCACAATAATAGGAAATAGTTAAATCAGATTGCTTCTTTAGCCCAAAAATGGTTGGAATATTCTGGTGTGTTACGACACATTTTGGTATCTGCTTCATCATGCCCCATTAATATCCATATTTAAGTATAAAATGTAAACTTCCCGACATGAACTTTACTAAAATTTGGAAGACTGTTTGATCTCATTTGATGCAATACATGGAAGATTGTCTTATTAGCCTTGCACCATACCCATGTTGGCCATAAAACCAAAACTCTTACTAAGATATCATTAGAATTTTTATAATCTACTTAAACAACAATGGTTGGATCAATTTGAAGGAACTTAATTTCTTAGGGAAGGTGAAGGGTTTAAACCTTGTCAATGGAACAAATCACAATAGAAAAGTTACCCCCAAACAGACTAGACAATATTGAATCTAACCTGATAATACTGGATATTAGAAATTTGTACTTAAAAGAGCTATCAACTACAAAGGAACTAATTAGGTACATTTCCTCTCACACATAACAATCTGTCCTAATAGACAGGAATGACAATCCCGAAGCATTTAAGCAAGATATTGAAAGTTAGAATGTGAGATATCAACCTCAACCAGCGTAACCATTCTTTTAGATCCTTTCTTACAAATTCCTGTGAATGATCAATGTTTGGAGCAGCATGGAAATTGTCTCCACTACTCTTGTTGCCCCTTCCCTGCATGGAAAGTAGGACATCCGTCATGTGTTCCAGATGCACCCAGAAAGATAAAAGTATCAACGTATTCACATTAACAAAAGCACTGCAGTTAATAGAACAGACCAAGCATACCATATCTAGATCTGAAATGAAAAATATACTTATAGTACTTATAATTGTGTCAGTTTTGGTATAATATAGTTTATAATGAAGTCAATTGGCTCATAAATGCAGTGCTACTAAAAAATTTGCTTAATAAATGGAGTATGAGTCTTTGCTTCACAGAGACAAGTCATTAACGCATTTCATTTCATTTATTGCCCAAAAATAACAAATTCTATTTATTAACCATTGCAAGCCTAGTAGAAGAAGACCAACAATAATAGAAGATACTGATTATAAAAATATATACTTAGCTCACTCGTTTAGAATGGTATTAAAATAGTAAAATTAATCACTGCTTCGAAATCTTTGGATAACTTATTTAAATAAAACATCAGCAAGCATTACATAATCTCTTACAGTGTTGGAAATTACCTTAGGAAAGGTTATTAAGCTTGTTAACACTTGACTAATCCCTAACTAAGTTCTTTGTTTAATGACCCTATTGCAAGGATTGAACTAGAGTTATTCCCAATATTGAAAATGTGAAATTTTAAAATGAGGCTTCCATGAACCTCTGGTTTTCCAATCTCCCATACATGCCCAGACCCACATGTTCATATCATCGTTTAGTTGAAGAAGTGATAAAAATGACCACTCAATTATGTAAACATGAGTTGAAGACAACACATTATGCCTACTCTTGCAAATTTCACTAGTTCTGCATCTCTCCAACAATTTTAACTAAACTAAAATGCAAAGCCAAATTGAAAAGTCTAACACGTCAGATGGTTGCTAATCGTCATCTAGGAATAAGGAAACAAAATCCTCTAATTCTATTCAATGCATTATGCAAATAAATTATGGACTACGATTACAGTTAATCTGAATGTAGTACGAAAACATTATCCATATTGGGGCAACATGCCTTCATTTTGACTGGGAGATTAGGGTTAAGAGTCACTTGGAAAAGGATTTCACTTCACTAAGTTTTTTTTTTCCAAATGCAGGCAACTTCTCAGGGAAGAATAAAATGAGAACATAATATATCTTCTTCCTGAAAGCATGTTATAAGTATTAATTTCATCAATACTCAATTTGAGAAAAGAAATTCAATTCCGCTAATTGTAGGCAAAACCAAGAAGGTGCTGATACTGAACAGAAAAGAAATTAGCTCCATAGCTGATAGAATATAAAAAACAGTGAACTTTTAAATTACCTATTCTATGTCAGGATGATTACTAAAACCGTGCAGGGACAAAAAACTAAGGATCCAAAACCATCACAAACAAACCTGAAAATGTGGATCATCAGAAACAACAGCCCGCTCATCCCAGTTTAGACGACCTCCAAATATGTTCCAAATACCATTCTGATTCTTAGAGTGGGCACAGCGGTGATTTAAAACAGCATCTCCAAGAACTTTGATCCCAACTTCATGAAACCTTTTCACTAAATCCTTTAGTTCATCAATGCTTCCATATCTGATATAGTAATAAAATAGTCACATGTCATATACGCCAAGTGATTCTCAAGAATATGTACAGTTTCTTTTAATGTTTTCCCCTTCAGTTTGCTGAGTCAAATCTAGAAAGGGTATTGCTTTCTATCCAAGTGAGTGACCAATGGCGGACCAACATTGGGTTGAGGGTAGGCAGACCCCCGCCCCAGACCAAAAAAAAAAAACTACAAAGTGCAAACAAAATGTTAAGTTTTGCCCCCACTGATCTTTAATTTTGAACCACCTGGTTTTAAAATCCTCTGCAAAACATGACATGGGGCAAAATGTGTTTGACATTCACGGAAAGATGCATGGTGGGAGATGGATTTTTGAGATTTAAATAGAGGGAAAGAAAGTAAATAAGCCTAAAACCGAGAGTCTGAAACACAGGGAGAGAGATGAAAGTTGGAAAGCGAAGAGGAAGAGAGTGAAAAACAAGTTGTCAGAAGGAAGGATATTAGGTTTAGAGTATTTAACAACATATTGATTCAATACCTGGAATTCAAATTATATAAATCCTTTGGCATGTATCCTTCTGGTGAAACAGATTCTGTAGGTGGCGGTAACCAAATTACAGTAAAACCAAGGGATGCAAGCTCTGCAGCTTTCTCTTTAAGCTCCGTGTACCATCTTCCTGATTTATGAGATTCCCAGTTAAACCCTTGGCATAATATTTCATACCCTGTTCCTGTACCTGAGCATATCTTTGGAGGTGGTGTCAGGGTTTCTGATTCCACAATAGTCTCCTCCGGAAAAGTTGGAACAGAGCCTCTGAAGATACCATAGGCTTCAGCAGCCAGTCGTTCAATTTCTTGAAGAATGCTTTCCTGTGCTTCTTTAGATGTTGTCTTTTGACTCCTCTCAGAGGAGATGTCTGTCACCAAATTCCGTATTTCATTGATTATTCCATCAGTGTATGCAGAGATAGAAGCCTTTTCACTGGCATCTTCTATCGCTTCTCTCTGCATTCCTTCTAACGGATCCACTCTGTTTCCAATAGGCAATCCACTAGAATGTGAAAGAGGAACATAAAAATCATCTCCCTCTGAATTTAACCAAGCATTTTCATTTATTTTAAGCACAAAAAGAAACCCTGAAAATTCTTCACCCAAGGTGATTAGTACTGAACATCTTCCGTGGTCGCTTGGCTGCATAACAGGATCAGCAAGTAAATAATTGAAGCTGAAATTTTCAGTTTCAGCAAATAAAAGTGAAAGGTCGGGAGAATTAAGATCCATTATTATGATACCACACAATCAAATTCTGGATGCATTCATCAAGACACATATAAACATACATAAGTATTTAATAAGAAGCAGCAGCGTTAAAATAAAGAAATTCAATAGAAAGGGGAGTTGGGAGGGTGAGGAGGATAATATGCACCACATTTGCATGCAGTAAATTATCTACAATCTAGTGGTACTGAACTTATTTCCAGAAATGGACACTAGTTTGAATCCTGGTTAGAGCCAAATTTAAACCCCAAAGGGGAAAAAATTATTTACCCTTCAAATGGAGATGAACTTTAGATACAAAACTGAGCATGCTTTGTGGACTATGACCAGTGAATAAAATAGATTCTGTCTGAATCTATGGAAAAGAACATTATAGGAAAGGTAAGAAGATACAGGTACATCCACAAGACCCAAAGGTTGAGTCAGCAGAGAATACAGTCAGGATTTTTAGGTCCAACAAGACAAAATAATTTAATCATACGGTACAACTGAAAATTCAATATGGGTCCTGCAAAAAGGTATCTGAGTGGCAACAATTTAAAAAGAAATTTAATGAATTGCTTCAACACTCGAGTCCCAAAACACTATAGGAAGAAAAACTTGTAAGGTCTGTACCTGAAATTTTGTTCTCAGAGCCCTGTCTTTAAATACTTCTGTTTCTGGTGGATGAGGAGCAGGTGGAACTTCCCACCTTCTAGCATCATCCCTGCAAACCCCCCAATGAAGGACAATATCTCCAGGAAGATCTGTTTCTAAATATAAAATATTCTTAGCTGTCTCAGAGCACTTTCTAACGGAGACACTCATGGAGTTATTGACAGAAACCTCTTTTGTAACTGGCAGTTCTACATAAAAACCTTCTAGCTGATGATTTTCTTGTTCAGGAACTCTGGATTGGCTTCTGTTCTCAAGACCTTCATAATGTGTTGCTTCTGATTTCAGCAGCATATCAGATAGCTGCCCCAAGGCCCCTTTAAGTCAGCATATACCATGAATCATGTCTCAGTTCAGCCACCAAAAATTGGTGCTATGACTTAGCTCAAAGGATGAACTAAGCATTGTGTAAATACAAATATACATGAAAACATCCTTTCTGCATATCATATGCATGGTGAATGAGCTTTTTTTTAGGGTATTAGAGGATTTAGTCATTAATGTATAGATATTGTAATGTGTACCATAATTGTAGGAATAGGGTATTGCTAGGCCAATATGAGCCATTAAAGCCTCTGCCCCTCTCTCTTGTATCTATATCCTCTTCCTAAAAATGAATAAGAGTATATATATTCATATTATATTTTTCTATACTTTCCAAATGGCAGGTCACAGCACAATATTCGATAGTGTCAGCAAATTGAATGAATTAGATGAAGAGTTCTCTTAGGACATAATCAAGTTTCAAATCCTCTAATAGAATAGTCATCAGCATAACTGGTATCATCACAATGTCACATCAGCAATTAAGGAGTAAGGAGCCAAAAGGATTTTACTTTCAGAAATCTACCTTTCCCTATAGTTAGAGGGTGGTCCCTTCTTTTCTTTTTCTTCTCCTTTTTTTCTTTGACCTAATAATTAATGGCTACTCACTCTGCCACTGCTTGCAGAGAAAAAGAAAACGCTCTCTTGCATCGTGAACAATGTGATGAGAGCTTATTATAACAATGAGAGGCTCCTAGAGATTACATGATATTCCCTACGTACCCATTTACAAGAGAATTGTTTGACTCTTATTTTTGTCTCAAAATAGAAGAGAATTGGAGGAAGTTAGTGGTGTAATTATGCACCTTTCCCATTTTTCCTTTCATTTAATTATCATGAATTAATTAAGGTGTGACTCAATTAATGGCTCTAAAGAAAAATAAATTGTGGCCCATTTAAAGTATTTAAACAATAAAACTAAATTTTTCTCAATAATTAGAAAATAAGTTATTTGTTTCTTATGGTTTGGGGACGGAGGGAGTAAAAATAAACCAAATTGCTATAAATATGATTCTATAACAATTATTATAGCATATATACTAATTACAAATCAACACAGAATATTCTCTAACACAAGAAATCATCGAAGATATTTATGGCAATATACAAAAACAGGAATCCAATGTGGGTGCAGACTCTAACAAAGATCTAATTCAAAACAATAAGAAAATTAAATTGTAAAATGCACAACGAGTTAAAAAGCATTGAAAAAGTAAATGAATCATGATCCATGATGACTACACAGATACCTGGCCACAAACTAAATCCCTTTTTAGGTCCAATTATATTTGCATCCTCCTTGAGGCAGCCGATAAGAGGAACTTTAAAGTCCCTTCCTTTTTGTTGATACCAAGCTCCAGTTTCCTCATCCTGCATTAACAAGATAGATCACTCGTAATGGATAAGGATTTGTTTTATTCATAAGGATTACACAGCATTCGCACGTATTATACTAAAAACTAACATCCACAACTGCTAATTATAAAAAATAAACCTTCAGCACAAAATTAATTGCCGAAATCTGGTTGTTGGATTTGATATTAATCCTGACTTCATGGAATGTATCTCCTTCAGAAGTCGATGATGTCTTCATGGGTGTCTCTATTGCATAGTCCTGAAATTTGAAATATTTACGTCCAACTCAAACTCTCCGCATGCGTGCAATAAATGGGTTTAATATGTGATCATGAGAAAACCATTGCATACCTTGATAGGAACAGAACCAGGGGGTATCATATCACGAGGAGGTTGATCCCACTCACTACAAAACAAAGCTTACATCACCATGATATAATTTGATCATTCATCATCAGAACTAAAAATTAAATCGGCAATTGATACCATGATTGGCTCTTATTATGGCATCCTATGAAGTAAAATAACAATAGAAAGTTAGAAACTGGTTTTTTTTTTTTTGTGTTTTGGGGGGGGGGGGTTCAAGCGCTTAACATATCATACCTGCCAACGTCATCAACAAGGGAAACTCCCCAGTGAAGAATCCACTTTCCAGGTAGACTGCAAGCTATCGTAAGCTCCCAATCATTCAAATCCTTTCCCTGATCTAATCTTACAAAGATCTTACCCTCCACCTGCAGATTCACCTTAACTATTACAACAGATTTACCAATGCTAGACACTAAAATATGCTAAATCACTGACGAGGTATTAAAACACATAAAGAAGAATTTAGTTTGACTCGTCAGAAAACGGAGGAAAACAAGAGAAAAGCCAATGACCCAAAAAAAAAAAAAACAAAATCATTTGAGCATATTCCGGGGGGAAAAACCGCTCAAGTTCTTCGCTTTGTTTTTTGCATTGGAAAAAAAAAGGGCAATAGTTAAAGATTATTAAAAAAAAAAATTTCCCCGACACTTCATCGGAACTAGACAATGAAAATTGCCGAAAGGTTTCGTCCAGACCTTATCAGTTCGGCTGATGGGAAAAGTTTCGTCGAAGAACACAGCAGCTGATTGAAATGACTCGAGTTTAGCTGCATCTACAGATGCAGCTGCAACAGGAGGAGACGGAGAACTGCAGGGTGACCGGAAGTTGCAGAACCGTTTGACATGGGAGCCGACGAACTTCGAAGAGCAATTCACAAAGCAAGGCTTCAATGTCTTTGATTTGAAACGATTGACTGCATTTTGTCTACAGCAAAGGTGGAACAGAGGCTTCAAGCTAACGGTTGACATGATCGTTTCCGCAAGAACATGAGAAAGTCGCAGAAAGCAAGTTTGGATCGCAGGAAAGTAAGAGTGTGGACCAACGATTTTAATATGAAATCGTTAAATATCGTTCCAATGATTTTCCTCGAGATGGATGAACCTTCTCCTTTTCCCTTTTGGCCACTGATTAATCTTTCCACAACTACCTCCATTTAAACGGGATAATGATGATTCCTTTTATTACTACTGCTACTGTTACTATTATTATTATTATTATCCTTTTGTCTAAAACACGAGAGGTCGCGTGTGATGAGGATAAAGAAACAATTTTTGGACAAGGTGAGTCGTGTAAAAGTCTAAAAGCTGCACGTTGGCCCAAAAAAAATTTAACAGCTGAAAAGAACTCCTGGGAAAAATACTAAGAAGACAAAAAATTTTGGGTGAATGACAGATTAAAAATAGAAAAATATATTATATTTTAATGATAGGAAGGGAAGTCTTTCTCAAATTAAAATTTTAAACTTTAGTAAAATAAAAAATACCTTTTATCTTTTTTTCAAAAAAAAAAAAAACTTAGCTCTCGTCGTTGGCCGACCACCTCTGGCGAGCTTCGGCACGTTGGTGGCTGTTGGTGTTTTTTTTAGTTTTTTTTTTTTTTTGCTATTGGAGAATATCGCAAGAAAGTAGTGGGGATGAAATTTGATCCCACTGCTCTTTAGCTATTTGTGCTAACAAAAAGAAAGATGATTATTGGGTCATCAAAAATTTGTTAACTTTATAATGCAAACAAAAATATATGATAACTCTTTTACTGTGACTCTAACCCGTGATAACAATTTATTTAGAGATGAATTTTAATTAAGAAATAACAAGTCTAAATTTGATATTAACAAAACAACTTGTTCTGATACATAATAAGAAGTAGCATGTACATTAATTAAAAATGATAATAATTTATTTAAAAATGACATGTCTTTATTAAAAAATAACAAGTTTAGATTTGGGATTAACAACGTGTCTTTTTTTTAAAATATAATAAAAGATGACATAATGACTAGTTATAATAGCTTGATAATTTGGATAGGATGATATTAAAATTCAAAGCCTGCATGGATTGGATGATATTCTTTCGGTTTTTAATATAAAACTTAATTATTGAGTTAATTTTGATCCTGAATATCAGACCTATTTCTCATGTTTATTAATTTTTTCTAAATTTTTCCTATAGATACTCCCTCAACCATAATCAAATAGAAGAGAAAAAAATATTAAAAAAGATGATTATAGTATTTTAAGAAAAACATATCATATTTCTTATAATTAACTAATTTAGCTAACTTTCTTAATCTAATCAAATTAGTTAAATAGATCTTATATTAAAAACCGGAAGAGTACTACCGAATTAGTTTTTAGGCCGACTTAATTAGGGATTATGGATTATAATATATTATTTTTAATTTTTAATTACAATTAAATTAGGTTCAATCCAACTAGAGTTTTTTTTTACCAGCCAATCCAACTAGAGTTACACTACTATCAACTCATAAATTATATACTGCCAATTAATTTAAAGACCAAAATCAAAATGAGAATTATATTATGAGGGGAGAGAGAGAACAGGATTTATATTAGTACTCCTCTTATCTTTAATATAAAATATATTTAATTAATTTGATTAGATTAAAAGAGTTAGGTAAATTAGTTAATTACAAGATATATGATAAATTTTTCCTAAAATACGATAATTCAACTTATTAATATCCCTCTCCCTCACTTACTTGATTATGATTGAAAGAATATTTATAAAGATAATTTTAAAAAAATTGATAAATAGATTTTATATTTAGAACTAAAATTAATTTAATATTTAGGTGTTATATTATAAATTAGATTAACTCATTGATTGATCATACATGTTTTGCCGCGTTCATAATCCCTTTCTTATCACAGGTGATGAATGGTGATAAGATCGGACTCAGCAGACACGTAACCTCCGTGTTCCTTATCCGACTTAATTCCAAAAGCATGGAAAAGGAAGGGGGAAAAAAAAAAGCTAACCGATTATTTAGTTTTAATGATTGCCGAAAACTGTCGATAAATGAATAAATTTCTGTACACATTAGAGCTCCCTAGAAACATCGTTATTATTAATATTTTTATTATGTATCATCTCATCTTTAAGAATTATTTCTTAAATATAAAAATCTTGTTTATAATTTAATGACTCCTATAAATTAAATTTTATATTTAGAATGAGAATTACTTTTTTTTTTTTTGAGCGAAGTGCTAACGGGCTTGTTGGAACTTGGAAAGATGCCATTAGGATAAGGTAATACGTCACCCACGGCCGTAGACAAAGCCAAGCACGACTTGGTTACGCCATAAACTGATAAAACCGAGGCAAACAGAAGCCGAAAAGGAAAAACGTCAACATCAATGCCAAACATAGATGATATAAGACTTTATTTAATTTTTATATTGATTTTAAATATAAGATCACAATCTATTTTATCTCTTATATTTATATTTTTTTTAAGATAATCCTTCTAATAATAATAATTCTAGTCAATATACTTGATTGACAAAGATATTTTAGGAAAAATAATACATATTTATTACAAATAACTAACTTAACTTCTTTCCTTAATCTCCTCAAATTAGTCAATTAGCTTTTATAATTAGGACCAAAGGTAGTATATCATTAAGTTGATTAGAGTATTAATTTTGATTCTAAATAAAAAAATCTTAATTCATTTTATCTCTTAAATTTCTCCTTTTTTTCAAATTAATTCATGTAACATAAATTGATATATAATCTAATATTAAAAATATTTATTTAACTTTTTAGTTATATCAAATTAATTAAATAATTCTTAGAAAAATAAAAAATACTTGTAACTTTCAATTTTAAGACGCCCTCAAGTTCTCGATGTAAGAAGTTCGTGAAGAATTTGTTTTTGTGCCAACAATAACATTTCAATTCATTTTATATTCTAATTTTATAATTTTTTTTCTAAGTCTTATTAATTGAATATATTAAGGAAAATTTTTATTAATGAGAATAATAGTTAAAGGAATATTTTAAAAAAGCTAACATATTTTTTAGTATCTATTAATTAATTATCTAATTCCTACAAATATTATATTTTAGGTATTTATAGTCACAAAAGACCAAAGGAGGTTAGAAAAATTAAAGTTCATGAGTGGCATATTAACAAAAACAACGAGCCTGGGAAGAGGTATAAAAAAAAATCCATGTGCTGGTTTAGCGGTTTGCTCTCAAGGGACCAAAGAAACGAAAAACCATGAGCGGAGAAAGTATGAACAGCCATATCTGGCTACCTTGCGAAAGGGAGGGATAAGAAAGAAAACATTATAAATCATAATCATAACGCATTTGAATTTTGGAGAATAAAATTTAGGCCTTAAAACTTCAGTTTAATTACAATTACGTACCAGAAAGGTTGCTTAAAATTAAGTTGCAAATTATGACTAGTGACAATCAAGTAATATACTCCTTCAGTCGTAAAATTTAATTAATTAATTTGAATAGATTGATAGTAGTATTAAATCATTTTTTTTTTCTAAAACACTATAAACATCTTTCTTAATTTCCTCTCTTTCTCTCATATTTGATTATTGTTAGGAGAATATTAATAACGTTAATTTTAAAAAAATGATAAAGATATAAAATAAGTCTTACATATAAGACTAACATTAACTCCCTAATTAGGTTTTATATTAAGCAAGGGAAGAGTAATTGGCATATGAGACTTCCATATTTATAGCAATATGAATTATTAATTGCCATTTATTGCTGGCCAAAAAAAAAAATAATTACAAGTTATTTTTCAATAAAACTTTCCGGAGGTCTATCATTAACTTGAAGGTTTTGGACTCAAGTATGATTTTCCCTTCAAATTTACATTGCCTAAGAAAATCTCTTGGTTTTGAGTTTGAGTCCCTGTGTGATGGGAGCTTGGACGACATTTTTCTCAGGCCTGTCAATTTTTTTTTTGGTTACAATGGAGGGCCAAGCCCAATACACAAAGAAATTAAAACATTGGGGAATCAGATCTCGTACACTCTTTGTCGAGCAAAGTCTTTAACTTTGGAGGGCAAGAGTCCAAAATCACTGAAGAGGAGAGTCCATCTTTTGCTAGGGTATCCGCTAGCCTGTTCTGATCTCTAGATATATGCTGAATCGTCAAATCCCAAGTGTACTTCATCAACTTCTGGATCTGAATGAACACTAAACTTGCTCCCTTGTTGGAAGATTCAGTGGATAATAAATCCACCAAGATCTTTGAGTCAGATTCAAGCTTGACCCTCCTAAAGCCAAAATCCCAACCTAGCATAAGTCCCTTTAAAACAACCCACTCCTCAGCTTCATAAACAATGCAATATCCAAGAAAGTGAGTAAATCCAACATCCCAGTTTCCAGTATGATCCTGAATAACACCCCCACAACAAGATTTCTCACTTGAAGATCTCATCGCACCATCAACATTGATCTTAACCCACCCCGTAGGCGGCGATTGCCATGTTAAACAACCACTTTCAGCTATAACATAAGGAAAACTTGGTTCTTGCAAATGAGTAAAACTCTTCCAAGTTTGAAGCACAGTCATTGTTGGATCAACCGGTTTTCTAAATCTTTCTTCAAAAACACATTTGTTTCGCCAATTCCATAACTCCCAAATAGAAACCCCCCAGATCAGGTTCCACATGCCATGTAATTTTAGACTCAAATCTCTTTTTTAAATTAAAGGCAAACCAGTCCCTCAAATGAGTAGAGAAGAAAGTTGAATGATACCTCAGATGTACCAATTGAAGCCACATATTTCTAGCATTGTTGCAATCTCTAAGAATGTGCATGACATCCTCCTCAACGGAGTTACAACATGGGCAAATGGGGGAGGAGAAGCCCACATACTTCTCCAAGAATTTGTAAGGAGTCTGTTATCAAAAGCCACCCACATAAAAACCCGAATTCTTTCAACGCCATTCCATCTCCATATTTGTTTAAAAATTGGATTATAATGATTCATAGGAATTTGCTCTAGCATGTAATAAGCACTTTTTAAAGAAAAAGACCCATCAACAGTTCCCTTCCAAGATAACACATCATTTCCACCTTCGATCAGACGGGGTAGCATGGTGATCAACCTCTGGAAAATCTCCTGCAGAACTATGTGGCCAACTTCTGGAAATCCCATCTCCCAAAGGCCATCCAATCTGCAACTTTACTTTCCTCCTCAAGTAGCATAATATTTTGAAGGCACACATCACTTATTTTAATGTCAGGAGCCAGCCAGTAGTCATTGAAAAAATTCACAAAGAGACCATTCCTAACATTCCATTTCATACCTCTTTCAACTATATCTTTCTGTTGGGCCACAAACTTCCACAGAGATGAATCACTACCCATAACATCAAGTAAATTATCTTCATTTCGCAACACATACTTCTAAGATAGAACTTCTGCCCATAAGGAAGAATAACCTATGATTAACTTCCAAGCAAGCGTAGCCCCACAAGCCCTGTTTAAAGAGGACAAACTCTTAAGACCAAGTCCACCGTAGGCCTTAGGCAGCACCAATTGATCCCATCCTATAGGATGGTAACCACGAGATGCATTACTCGTCCCCCAAATAAAATTCCTCTGTAACCTCTCTACTTTAAGGCAAATAGCTGAAGGTAATTTTGCAACAAACATAGGGCATACTGGAATTGAGCTAATAACCGACTGAGCTAGAGTAATTCGGCCAGCTATAGACAAACAGTTCTCTTTCCAAGTAGACAGCTTGGATCTAACTCCGTCAATGATGCAATGGAACGTCTCTGTTGGTTTCCTCCCTTTGGTGATTGGAAACCCTAGATACTTCCTTATGTCAGTCGAAATCTTCATGCTAGTGATCTCTCTGACTCTCATCTTCACATTGACAGGCACCTTTCGTGAGAAGAAGATAGAAGACTTGTGTAAGCTAATCTTTTCACCTGAAGCTTGACAAAATTGTTGCAGACACTTCATCATTCACGAAGCTTGATGCTCACGAGCAACTCCAAACAAGAGCAAATCATCAATAAACATCAAATATGAGATAAAAGGATGATTCTTAGTAACCTTAATTGGCTTCCATTGACCATCATTAACAGCATCTAAAATGATGTGAGATAATCTATCCATGCATAAGACAGAGAAAAGGGAAACAAGGGTCTCCTTGACGCAATTGTCTTGAAGGAGAGAAGAATTTAGTTTGCTCACCATTCCATAGCACATTATATGTCACTGAAGAAACACACATCCTGATTAATGTGACAAAATCAGAGTCAAAACCAGCATCAAAAAGAGTATCTTGCAAGAAATCCCACCTAATCCAGTCATAAGCCTTTTCTAGGTCAATCTTGAGAGCCATTAAACCTTTCTTTCTTTTTGTTTTCCTCATCGTATGCATTATTTCCTGGCCCACAATAATATTATCTTGAATGTTTCTCCCCTTTATAAAGCTCGCTTGGAAAGGGGAGACCAAATCACTCATCACCTCTCTCGGTCTACTAGCAAGCACCTTAGTAATGCATTTGTAGTGAACTGTACATAAGGAGATAGGTCTAAACTGGCCCACTATCTCAGGCCTTTCGATCTTGGGTGTAAGAGAAATTAAAGTTTTATTTGCCTTAGAACCCATCTACTTCTTTTTAAAAACTTCCTTAATAAAATCACAAAGAGCCGGACCCAGTATATCCCAATTTCTTTGGTAGAGAACAGGAGAGAAACCATCAGCACCTGGAGCTTTAAAAGGCCCCATAGAGAAAAGAGCCCTTTTAATCTCCTCAATAGTTCGTACTGTGCTCAACTAGAGGAATCAAACTGATTTAACTTTGGAAAGTTTGACTTCGTGTTCAACTTAAATGGGGAGTATCTTCATTAGTGCGTATGCTTCTAAAGTAATAAAGCACATAAGTCTGAAGCTCCGAGTCATTCTGAATCCAATTGCCCATATCATCTTTAAGAGCCGAAACCTTATTTCTCCTTCTTCTCATACTTGTTCTCAAATGGTAGAACTAGTGTTTCTATCTCCTTTCATAATCCACTCTGATCGTGACTTTTGAAACCACTTTACTTCTTCAGCCTTTAAAAGCACATCTAGCTCAAACTGTAGAGATTTCTCCAAATCACAAAGAAATCGAGAATGAGGGTAGGAAAAAGAACTCTAAGTTCCTTTTAGTCGATTAAGAATCCTCCTAATCTTTTTCTCAACAAACTTAAAGGTTTCTCTATTCCAAATCAACAAAGCATTCTTAAGATCAATTAAAGAATTGGTAAGACTACCATCTTTACCCCAATTTGTGGACAGAAAATCCTTAAAATTATCATGAGAAAGCCACATAGCCTCATATCGAAACGGTTTTTGCCCATAAGAATGACCTCTTGTATCATTAAACAAAAGAACAATAGGATTATGATTAGAGTAACACATTCTTAGGGATACCTTTAATTCGCAGTCAATAAAAGAAGTTAGGAAGTTCAGATTTGCTAAACCCCCGATCTAGTCTTTCAAAGAGCCACTTGTAACCAAAAATATTCAGCCCTTCCCAAGTAAAAGACGGACCCAAAAACCCCAAATCAGATAACCCGCACTCATTTTCTCTGTCTTGAAACCAATGCATTTTAGTAAAATTGCAAGATGCCCCACCACTCCTTTTGAAAGCATGCATGATGTCATTGAAGTCTCCACAAACCACCCATGGCATCGAAATCCCAACAAAAATATTCAGCAATTTACCCCACAGGATAGATCGCAAATTTGAGTGGGGGATCGCATATAAAGCGGTGAGCAAGAAGGGCACTCTATCATGCAGTTGACACTTTAAATGGATAAATTGTCTATCTTCATCTAGAACCTCAACCTTAATACAATCATTTTTCCAGGCTGCAAGTAAACCACCAAATCATCCTATGCTGGGAACAACTCTGAAGCCATCAAAGCGCTTAAGCAACGAAAGCGAGTGGTACTTTTAGATCGAGTTTCAGCTAGAAGCAACAGGATTGGTTTCGGCTTATTATAAACTACTTTCAAATTCCTCATTAACCCATTGTTATAGGCCCCTCTAATATTCTAATATTAATATAATAATATCCATAGAAGGTCAAAGAAAATAAGCAAGCCCGTTAAAACCCGTGGGAGAATTGGGTCTCAGCAACAATAGTATTCTCACCGGGTCCACTCTCAATAGACTCAATAGGCTCATTCACCATCGGGCTATTACAAACCAGCCTAATGTTATTAACCCCTGGGTCCACTTCTTCAATTCGAATATCCCCATTGTTTAACTGATGGGGGATTTGGGCCTGAACTGAATTGACTTGATCCATGGCCTCTTCTTCAATTTGATCCATACTTTCATCCTCCCTGTTTTGCCTCACGTCATCCTCTTCAAAATTCCTCACGTCATTTTTCTCGTGGTTTTTCTCTTCACTCATCTCAGTGTTGCTCTCCTCCAGTGTTAACATTAAAATTTCCCCCTGATGAAGATCACAGCCAATCAAATCTTGTGGTCTTTTCTCACTTTTCCTCTGCCTTTCCGTACTCATGGGCTTAAACAAATGCTCGCTACCCATTTCATTCTAAGGTAAAGCTTTCCTGTCCTGTTTGTTTTTTGGCAAGTCCTTCTTCCTCCCATTGTGTTTTTGTATAACGTCAATGGCGTGAAACAATTGTTGCTCCTGAGGTACCTCTTGTATGATTTCATTAATTGCGAAACTGTTATGCTGATTTGTTGTCATTTGTTCATCCATGTCAGCAAGTACCCCAAAGTGTGATCCCCTATTTTTTGGCCAAACTTGATCACCCTTACCCTCCTTCGTCCTCTATTGCCGGTGAATCTTCTGCACCACTCTCCATTGATCCTGCACGCAGTCAACTTCTACATTTTCTCTATTATTTCGATTTCCCCTGCTCTCCTCTACATTAACATTTTCTCGTGGTTTAACACGCTTCTTAGATGGGCAAGAATCATGCCTATGACCATAGATTCCACAGTGTGTACAGAGCATATGAAGTCCCTCATACTCAAGATAGTAGTCTTCTCTGTCTAATGAAAAACCAGGCATTAATTGCTTAGTAAGATCCACCACCACACATAAGCGAGCATCATGACTCCTTAGCTGACATGAAGTATTAAAATCCACCTTAATGGTTTCTCTAATCCTATTACCAATGATTGTTAATGCCTCTATATCATAATACTTCAGTGTAACTCTTGGCAATCTTACCCAAATAGCCGCCTTATCAATCTTCACTCTCTCAGGGAAAAATTTCGGCTCCCATGGTCTTATTGTTAGATAATGATCATAGATTATCCAAGGACCTCTGGTAAGTGCATTGAAATAATCCTCTCTATTTGACAGTTTCACAACGTAGAAGCCATATCCAATATTAATGAGGTTGATAACACCTCTCTTGGCCCAGAGTGACTGCAGCCTGGAGAGTAAGGCCTTATAGCCAATGTTGTGATCTAGTAGTTCCACAATGATTGCTTTCCTCCATGATCTATACAGTCTCTTCTTCATCCTTCTAGAGAATTAGAAGGTCAAAAAATTTCTGTTAGGGTCTTCCATTGTTTTATACAATGGTTCCTCATTGCCCTATTGGTTATCATCTGACATATTATCATCAGAAACCATGTCAGAAGGATTCTCTATATCGTCATCGGACAATTCACTCTGCCTATCAATCCCTTTGAGTTTCTCAACAAAGGAAGGACCCCCAGCTTGGGATGCAGATCCTTTAGACCCTAGTTTAGGCCAGTTACCATGTAGAAAGCCATTCCCTCTATCTATAGCAGCATTCTTTATCTTCTTAGCACTTTGCAGCAATAAATCATCTTCCTTTTGGGAGGAAGGGACTTGCGGAGGAGCTTTCCCAGAGAGCACAATCGCCATCTTCAATTGCTCAGTGTTTTGTAGGCCTCTCACTTTTCCTTCAGCGGGATGTCAAACAGTTCTTGATCTAGAATAGTTTTACATATAGGACAATTAAAGGGTGAGTCACAACTCAAAGTTTTTGAGTTTTAATCTTTTGGCATCTAGTGGAATGGGTGGCATCAAGTTTGAACTTTTAAAGATAATTGGACCACAGTTTATATACCATAAGAATGGAAAACGGTTGCCACATGATAAGGGAATTGATTAAGGCTTTGTTGGGTTCAATGAAGGGGAGGGGAGATGAATTAAGGGGAGGAAATGGGAGGCGAGAGAAGGGTATGAGTTTTGTTTGGTTGGAGGGAAAGAGAGTGGAGGGGAGATTTCTTGTTTGGTTTAGGAGAAGGGAGAGAAGCTAATTATAAGTTAACAAATATATCCTTACCTCTTTATTTAGATTTCTTTATTATTTTATTATGATCTTTATATCATAATTATTATTTTCTAATTTGTAAATATAAAAAAAATCAGATACCTTGAGACATAACAAATAGATTATAAATAATCATATATCAAAATAAATGTCAATAAAAAATATATTATAATCTTTAACATATTATATAAATTATAAATAAATTTATGCTGCAAGTTTTAAACTATTCCATCCTTAATTATATAACGTGCGTAACCTCACATGTTTAATTAGATAATACACAAAGTTTTGTGTAAAAAAATAAAATTAAATTAAAATAGGTATATATGGACATGCATATCAACGAATTTGGAAGATTAGGCAGAGAGTGTGAGAAGGTCTCAACGACTTCAAATCATTTAAATAAATGAATAAAAAATACGGATAATGCTTATATGATGAATGAGATGGAGGATGAGACAAGAGGAAAAAATATAGAAGATTAATGGCAGAGAGAATGGGAAATGATGAAATCAGAGAAAAAAAATATGCAGGAAAGAAAAGAACCTCTGAGGAGTTAACAAAAAATCTGTAGAAGAATAGTAGGGGCTGAAAAGAAAAAAAAAAGTAGAAAAAAGCAAAGAGTAAAAAAAAAATTTACTAAAAAGGACAAACTTAGAATATTAAAAAACTAACATGAGTAATTTAATCAAAATAAAACATAATTCCCCTCTAAAAAATCCCAAGCTTGGAGTTGGAGGGGAGCCAAAAAAAGAGAAGAGAGCATTAAAAGACAGATTTTTTTTCCTCCCCTCGCCCCCATAAACCTTTCAAGCAAACAGTGCATAATGGAAAAACTACAATAAAATTCTAAGAAAAAAATTAATTACAAAATAAATCCTAAAAGTTATCATTTCTTATTTTGAAACTTATTTTTACATTGTTATATTTTCTTTTCTTAAGACTTCATTATAATTCTTCCTTGATTAATAGATCAAAGAAACAAAATTTTTCCCCTTCCTCGTTTTTGTGAACACAAGCCTCCCACTAATTATGCGTTTGGAAGGCATAACACTAGCAAAGGCAAGATAAAAGAAATCATGAAATGATATTTCAGGAGATGATATTGATCTTCAGTGTTTCGAAGCAACCTGAAGAAAAATATTTGTTAACAAATTGACAAGACGCACTTGCTCAATAGGCTTCACCTAACACTCATAACATACACCACGAAGCCAAATGCTCTTTTAGCTCTCAAGTTATCCATGAATAGTTTCATTTGACACAAAGTACATCTATACTGAGAAAGCAAGGTATCATGAAAAAAAAAAAAAAGGAGAGGAGAAAATTAGATAGAAAATTCCTTAACTCTATGCTTTGCCATTAGGTTTAGGGGATTGTAAGGGAAACTGGTGGTGATAAGGAGATGCATGAGATCCATGAGGAATAGAGAGACTCCTCTGCTGCTGCCCATGCCGGGTAAGCAATCCTCCTTGTGTTCGCCCATTTCGAGTATTAGGGCTGGCACCAAATCTGTCAGCTTGCATTGTCTGAAAATAATATGATGAGCTCGCCATGTCCTTGAGGTTTGGCAGGGGCTTTAAAGCTTCCACGACTTCGCTCATTAGGGGTCTGGCTTTTGGATCTCTGCTGAGGCAGTGAGCAGCCAGTTGGGCAGCTTTTTGAGCTCCTTTTATAGAAAAGTGACCTTCTAACCGAGGATCTATCAACCTATAGAACCTTCTTCTCTCTCCCAGATGTGGCCGAGCCCATTCGACAAGGTTATGTTCACCATTGGGTCGGTTTTTGTCCATCGATCTTCTGCCAGTCAACATCTCAAGAAGAACAACTCCAAAACTGTACACATCACTTTTTGATGTAAGATGACCTGCCACAAAATGTAAAATCTGATTAAAATCAGTCGTATGATTCAGATGTTGTGTTACAATAATTTGAAACAAATTTAACTACAAACGATATGCATAATAAATCTACAGGTTTTCAAGGTTACAACACACAGCGAACAGATTAACCGCATGTACAAAAAGGAAGACTACGATAACCACAACCACTGCAGGCAGTGAAACCATAAACTCCGAAATGAGACAGAGATACGATATTAATCCATAAATCTATGATATTAATCCAAACAAACAGTCCCACATGGAATTGCATTTTTACAATTTTGTTATTAATTTTTGATAGAACAAAAATATGTGGAAGAGAATTAATGACTTGAACTATGAACAAGAGAGAAAAACCAAAGAAATACGCACCTGTGCTACTTTAATGAAGAATAAAACTTGTGAATTTAGGCTCAACAAATGGAACTAAAATTACCTGTCATGACATATTCTGGCGCTGCATAACCATAGGTTCCCATCACCCGAGTAGATACATGGGTTTTATCACCCTCCGGACCATCTTTGGCAAGTCCAAAATCCGAAAGTTTGGCATTGTACTCCTGGAATGTTACCGCTTTAGAAGGATTGCAAAATGGAAAATGACATACTTCTATAGCAGTTTTTGGCACTTACAGCATCCAACAGTATGTTGGAAGTTTTAAAATCCCTATATATTACTGGTCGCTCAGCTTCCTCATGAAGAAATGCCAGACCCTTCGCAGCTCCTAGTGCAATTTTCATTCTGATGGACCACGGAAGCGGCAGGGATCCTATATCAAACAAGGATATAATCCCAAGAAAGTGCTGTCACAAAGCAGAAGTTTTATATTCTAGTCCACAGTCAACCCATGTTGGTTCTAAACAATATCCTGGCACTATGAACCATGTGCACATACGCTAACACAGACATGCTGACACATAAACTTCTACGTGTAATGCATGTGCGTCAATATTTTAAACTTTCAACAGGTGACAAATCACTAATAACAAGGGGAAAAAAATCAGCTGGTATTATTTTATTTTCTAATTTCTAAGTATAATATGCCATAGTTATCTTAAAAGTATTTACTAAATCAAAAGTTGTTAATCAATATTATTAAAATTACGAACAAACTATCCAAAAAAGAGGAAAAATTTTAATTATCTTATCAAGACGAATTATCTTGCATTTAACTTTACATTTTTCCATGGTCTTCTCCCCTTCCTTTGGGCTCATTCGTGTCCAAGCCAAGTTTGGCTCAATTCCAAGCATACTCAGATAAATGAAACATTGCTTTAATTTAGACTGCTTTGTATGTATGCTGGGCACATTTCATCAACAACTGTGCTAGATGTAGCACATACAACACACCTAAGGTAGGTAAGTCCATGCTTTGTAGTTCTTAAATAAGCAGGTCACAAAAGCAGCCCACATCATTTTTCTTTTTTGTTTTTTTTGGGGGGGGGGGGGGGTGGTGACACCATTTTCCGCCAATGTTTATTTGCATCGAGAAGGCAACATGTTTTAAGGTGCCCTGGTGCTCCAAATACAATTAGAAAATAATTCGAGGAAACTCATTAGACCCGGGGAGGGGGGGGGACTTACTCCTAAATAGGTGGTTCTCCAGGCTTCCCCGAGGCATGAATTCATAAACTAGCAACCTTTGATCATCTTCAATAGAGTAGCCTATAAGTTTAACGAGGTTGGGATGAATTAGATCACCAAGAAAACTTACTTCAGCCTGTCACACAAAAGAAACGAGACAAGACATTATCAAAAAAGGAGTAAAATGGAATGCAAAAAAAAAAAAAAATCTTCAAAAGACGACCAAATTCTACGAAATTCATTAGATAAAACAGGTTATCAAAGGTACAAACCAGCCATTCTTTATGACCCTGGAGCCCATCATGATTGAGGGTTTTTACAGCAACTGTAAGCCCTGTGCCAGGTTTCACTGGAGCAGTTCCATTTTCTTCAATCCATCCCTTGAATACACAACCAAACCCACCTTCACCAAGAAGACTCTCAGGCCGGAAGTTTCTTGTTGCCAGCTTAAGATCATTAAATGAGAACTTTCGAAGCCTGGAAGCAACTTTAAGTTCCTCTTCAAGTTTGGAGGTGGATGAATTACTTTCCGCGTTACTTGTGGTTGTAGAAGAGACTACTGGAGCTGTTGGTTGATCTCTACTTGTACCGTTAGTTGATTTACTTTCAGCTAATGAGAAGCCAAAACAAGTAGACAGGCTAAAGAATCAGAAACTATAATAGCAGTAACTTCATGCAATATTGAGCTTAGGCAAGACGAGAGGGAATTGCTAGATTCAAAGATCAACATTAAATTAAACGGAACAAAGAAATACAGAAAGCCCATGAAAATAGACACTCGTTGATATAATTAGTCGTCAAGAGACAAGTCTATTTGGATGCATTTCATACAAGCAATACAACTTAATTGCCATAAGTTAGTTGAGAATGCTATCATATAATGTATGAATATAAACAACACATAATGAGGTAAAAAAACTTAACCCAAAGGTACTGATGGAAATAAGGAAAAGCAAGGCAATTAAACCTGGCAAAGCTCTCAAAGAAACATTTGTTTCAACACCCTTGACCCTGGTACAAAGAAATGATTTGTTCCCACCATTGTCGCTTTACTATTTGGAATTGAGAAAATGGATATGTGAAATTGACTACAACTATAACTCAGCCCTTCTGTCTTTAGTTGACTCAATGCTGGCATGGACACATAGCTGCCAATGTTTATATTTAGTTCTTTCCAAACGAGATTAAGCCTAGCTCCCTTTCTAATAATTACTTAACTAAGTCTGCCACTAATTACTTAATAACAATTAGTTCCAACTCTAATTTGTTTCAGTCGGAAATTCCCATCCACAGTAACTTCTCACCCAGAGCAATACAGAAGCATATGCAACCATTCAGGAATATGGAAATCTACTTGGGATTTAACTATCAATTGCTTTAGGAAAGTAAATGAAACTGTTATTTCACAGCATGCGAACCTCCTGCGTAGGTTCAACTCTCTTCTGACGCAATCTGAAAGGGGCCAGAGCAAAACTTATCCCATACACTTGTTCCCAACCATCATTTCACATTTTGCAACATAAATTCAGCTTGAATTGCCACATAAATCAGTAAACTTGCACTTGATGGTCAAGAAAGATTTTTACCCCTAATGTGAAGGATCATATGCTGAGAAAATACTTAAAATCATGCTATCTGACCAAGGAAGGGAACAATTTAAACATACAGTAAAACATGCGTAAAAGCAGATCATATGAACAACATTTTTTAAGGAAAATAGAAGTTACCGTAATGAGTACTGATGCTGCTGACTGAGCTATCAACCTTGGATCTCGAAGAAATGCAACTGCCAATGAACCTCAGCCCAGCCCAACACCCAGTTTCTTCCTCTTCCACAACGCCGTCATCTTTCTTCTTCTTCTTCTTCCCCTTTGATTTGCTGACATCCCAAGACTCCACCTTACCATTATCAGCACCCAACCCCATCTCTTGAAAACCCTGAGGACTTAATCTCAGATATCATCAAAAGCCCGCGTATACCGAACACCACCCCCTCCAATGCCCCCCTCCCAGCACAACAAGCAGCAAAGAAGCGTCAAGCCCGGATGATAAATTCCCTAAATAAAACCTAAAAATCACAACTCTACTCCTCCAAACTCCTCGAAACACAGTAATCAAAACAAAAGCCGGTAACTTAAACCTAGAAGGAAAACGAAGAGAGCAGATCACGTAGCGCAAATCAGTGTCCAAACACCTCCGGGTCTACCGAGCCCTCGATTGATCGACTTGGGGAAGCTGAAGGTAGTAGCAGTGTCAGCTCAGCGCAGAAGGAACGCAGCACCGGAGTTGAACTAAGAACAGAAGTAACCTCTCTGCTCAAAGACACAGAAATCCCAGAGATGGGCTCCTTCTCTTGAAACTGACTAGTAGAATACAATGCTGCAGAAAAAAACAAAAATGAAGATGGCCTGCCTTTCCAATTTATCGATTCTCTCTCATTTTCCCCCCTCTGCTAATCATTTATTTTTCTTTAACCGAATCAAAGACTAGAAAGAAGAGTTTGATCACGCAGATTGACAGAAGTACCACCGCGGCAAAAAATGACAATAAAGGACTGCAAATATGTGAAACAACATAGAAAGAATAATTTTTCCCCCCTTAAAAAAGTAAGTATATAAACAGAGATACTTTTATAAAAATCACTTACAAATAAATTGTAAATTGTATAAGTTCTGTAAATACTTAAAACTTAGTTATAATTTTCAAAAAGTCGGTTATAAATGGTAAAATATTAATTACCAATATATATTTTTTATAAGGATCAAATGAAGAGTACACATATATATATTACTATATTCGGTCATTAATATAAAAATTAATTTAACATTCAATTTAATTCTAAATATAAAACTTTAATATAATGGTAAGCAAAATCAAACTGAACCAAATCAAATTCAACTTCATTTTTTCGGTTTAGTTATTTTAGTTTCCTACATGTTCAGTTTTTATTTATTTAACAATTTGGTTTTTTGTGTTCCGTTCAATTAAAAAATTTAAAATTAAAAAACCAAAATAAATATATTATATATTTATATTTAATAAATATTATTACAATAAATATATATATGTGAGTTTATGTGAGCTGCTTAAATATATTTATATTCAATAAATATGGTTATAATAAATACTATTATAATAAATCACATTGAATAGTGAAGTATTATTAATTAATGGTTGTAATTATGTTTTATTATTATTGTTAATTTAAAATCACTTTTCATATTTATATATTTCAGTTAATTAGTTAACTGAACTGAAATATTTTGATTAATTCCGTTTCAGTTGGTTTTATTAATCAGTTTTGGTTCGGTGCTTAAAATTGGCTATATTCGATCATTCAGTTATCACCGAAAATCAAATAAAAAAACCAAATACTCACCCTTACCTCCAATCTACTTTATCTTTTACATTTATTTATTTTTTTTAAAATAATTATTATAATAGTTGCACATGTTAAATGTTTGATAAAATGATAATTATAGGTAATACACATTATTAGTAATGGTATTTTGAGAAAAACAACATTTATTTATTACAAATAACTAATTTAATAATTTATTTAATTTATTTAAATTAATCAACCAATTTTTATATTAAAAATATGAGGCTGTAACACAAACACATAACACACAAGTTTGAACCCGTGACCTTAGAGAGGGCTGGCGCTGCCAGTCCCAAGAGTCTTTGAAATTATATTATGAAATGAAAAAAGCTTGCAAAAACGTGTTGATAATTTATTAATGTTAGATTTCAAAATTTAGAATTGAGTTTCTAAAATTCACAACTAAATTTTTAGAATATACTCCTCCAGTCTTTAATATAGAACCTAATTGTTGAGTTGATTTTGATCCTAAATATAAGACCTCTTTCTTATATTTATCAATTTTTTCTAAATTACCCTTATGGATACTCCCCCAACCATAATCAAGTAAAAGAGGGAGAGAAGATATTAAGAAAGATGATTATAGTATTTTAAGAAAAGCATGTCATATTTCTTATAATTAACTAACTTACCTAATTTTTTTAAGCTAATCAAATTAGTTAGATAGGTATTATATTAAGAATCGGAGGCGTACAAAATTTTCACAACTTGTAACGTATTGATGTTATTTTTTCAAGGAAAAATCGATGAAAATTTTCTATTGAGAAATTTTGTTCGATAGAAGAAAATGAGAACGAACTTGTGCAATGATTTAGCCAAGACTAAGTCATCACTATTCATGTTGCATCTATGATCGTCTGCCCCTTGGACCAAGGAAGTGGAAGATAAAGGGACAAGAGTCCCCACACCATATATGATCTTTCTCCCTCACGTCCCCAAAACTGCCAATATTTTTTTTTTAATAATCACTGTGAAATCCCAATAAAGAAAAATAGGGCCTGTTGGAATTCACAATTAACTCATATAAATTAAGATAAAATTATTTTCTTATATTTACTTCGTATTTTGTAAATTACAATTGAAAAACTATTTATAAATAATTATAAATGGGCTCATAGTCACTAAAATTTTATAACAAGTAAATAGCATGTAATAACAAATTCTAATAAGAACGATAACATGTCCAAACAATTAACTTGTTATTTGGAGTTCGTGTACCTAAAACTTCCAAGATGATTTTGCTAGATGCCCATAGAAGAATGCTTTTGGACAGAAAAGAGGTCAGCAGAAACATCATTATTGTTTGCACATTTTCATTCTCCTGGATCACCCTATCTTTAAATTTCATAGAAATTTGACAGTATCAAATCATGCAAACCTGTCTCTTGAGTAGAGTCAATTTGGAGCAAACAAAATGCCCCTATGTGACAAACAAAATCCTAAAGTGCTTTGGTTGGACTGGCTATTTACGACACCATAAAACCAATGCAAACAAAAACCACAAAGGAAGAGCTCATCCAAAAATAAAAAATAACAAGATGCATTTATTCATAAGTCACTATGTCAACATCAATATGAAATAAAAATTGTCACAAGATGTATTTACACAGAAAGGCATTTATACAAAGTCGCCAATAGTACTGGTTATTCCATATTCATGCAATACATCAATATATTGTCTAATTATTAGAAAATAACTGTAACCACCACTACCATATTTTGAGTATTCACGGTCACGAAAGACCAGAGATGGATAGAAAATGAGCAGGTGCATAAGTGGCATACTAACAAACACAACTAAACTTGGAAAAGGTCACCCAAAAAAATTTCCACATACTGGTTTGCACCGACAAAGTCAAACTCCTGATATTTCAGACTACTCAGCTGCACTTCCTTGGAGAAGACCATCTCTAATTTGTGAGGCTATGTCTCTTACAGCACCGGGTCCATGTGGAATAAAGACAGAATTGGATTTTGATGATGCACCAATCTCTTTCATTGTGTCAAAATATTGGGTCACTAGAACCATGTCCATGACATCCTTTGATGTTGTCCCAGGTACATTCTCAGAGAAGGCTAACACACTGTCCCTCAACCCATCTACTATGGCTTGGCGCTGGCGAGCTATTCCAAGACCTGCTAAATACTTCGACTCTGCATCACCTTCTGCCCTTTTAATTTGCAATATCTTCTCAGCTTCAGCTTTCTCATTGGCAGCCACCCTCAGTCTTGCAGCTATTTGTAGAGATGGTTAAATCACAGGGTAAAGAAAAAAAGAACATGAAAACTAAAGCAACCCCCACATTAAATAAATTTTAGCTATAAGTCTTTGCTGATTTCTAGAAAGCCTTATATAATTTTCCTCTCAAATTCATCAGGCAAGTAATATAGGGAAGTATTAGCTACTTAAATTATACGTATATGTATATATATTAGGTATTAGATGTTCAAGAATACGAATAACAGTTCAATAAAAAAATCAAATATATAATCGTCTGTTACTATAGGTGTAGATTCGTTTGTAAGGGACTCTCCAAACATTTTGTACCAATTCCCGGCGAGAAAACTCAAGACAAAAATAACTTGACATCACTTCCATTTACAAGTATGAAAAAGAAAATAAGTGCAACAAGCAATTTCAGCAATAGCAAACAATTTCCATCTAAACAGCATACCAGCATTTATCTCATTCATGGCTCTCTTCACGTGCTCATCTGGTTCAATATCCACAATAAGAGTCTGAACTATCTCATACCCATAAACGGCCATAGCCTACATATCAACAAATGAAAGCCAAATATTTCAGATATCCTACTCTAATCTTCTAGAAACAGAACAGAAAAGAAAGAAAAAGAAAAACCTTTTCAAGTTCTTCCTCCACAGCTTTTGCAATTTCATTCTTCTGTTCAAATGAGGAATCTAGATCCATCTTTGGAACACTTGCCCTGATAACTGAAATAGTATTAAGGATTTATCAGTTTATTCCTAAAAATGCATCCATAAAAATTCATTCTTCCGAGGAGCCCAAGTACAGATACACACCATCAAAAACATAGGCTTGTATCTGTTCTCTGGTATTGCTAAGTCTGTAAAAAGCATCCACTGCCTTGTCTTGCAGGGCACGATATTGGATAGAAGCAACCACGGTGACAAAAACGTTGTCCTGATGGGGCGTAATAAAACAAGGTCAGATAAAGAGTGTTGATAACCACATTGTCAGGAAGATATAAGAGACAGAAAATTCACGTTCCATTAACACAGAAGTCATAATACTACAGACCTTTGTCTTTGTCTCACATCGAACATCTAGCTGCTGCACTCGCAAAGAAAGGTAACCAGCTACCTGACTACCAAAGAACCAGGGCACGCAGTGGCAACCAGGCTCAAGCACATCATCAAACTTCCCAAAATTTTCTTTGATAGCAACAAGTGACTGGTCCACTTGAAGACAACCAAGTGCTAGTCCCATCTTCAGAAAATCCAAAACAAAAGCAGCTAGAAAAATCCAACAGAAGACAACTTAGATGTGCTTTAGTTTTAAATGCAAAGGATGGGAATCCATATACTCAATACAGCCACAAGCGAGACCTCTTGAGACCCCTTGTATACATTTGCAAAAGGACATGAGAAACATAAAGGCTACTAAGCAGCACAATTCTAGCTTCTGGGTGTGTAAAATTAGAAAAATATTCATGTAGGTACAAAAGAGCTAATACTTTCGAGGTAACGATATTAGAATATGCAGACAATTGGATGAACATAGAAAAATATTGCTAAGGAAAAAAGTGAAAAAGTTACTAAAGATATCTGTATGTCATATGAATACAATCGTCAGAAAGAGATTTCCAAATAGCTTTAAAGGAGGTGTGTGGCTGCGAAATTCCATCACTAGAAAGTCAGAAAACCACCGAAACACTGTGAAACCAACTAGAGTCACCTTTTTAATAATCAAAACTGCACATGTAAATTATTTCAAAAAGAAAAAGAAAAATACAGACCTAAACCACTAACCTCCAGCTTTGTTAGAACACGCATCTTTAAAATCATATCATAAATATGAACGGAAAAGAATATACAGAATGAACTTGATCAAAATTTAAAACTTAAAAGGGAAGAAATTAAAGCCAGACACATACTGAGCAGCAGATACAGGAATAGACTTCAACAGCAAAGAAAAAAAAAACCTGAGTCAATTAAACTCCGATGGATCCAAGCGAACCCTGACCATCACAATTCTATATGTATAACAACTTAGAATTGAAAATACAAGAGGCAAAGAAAGGAAAGCACAGTAAATGGAAGGAAGAAAAAGTAATGATTTTTCTTTCACCTCAAAAAAACCCAGACAAGATGAGGTTGATTCTCACAAAAACTATCGAATCGAGATTATTAATTTAATTCGTTTCATGGAACAGAACAAGATTTCTGCCTTGATTAATTTCCGAGCACGATAGGAAACTTAAATTACAACTAGGGTGCGGGATTTGAGCAATGAGCACGCATTGATTTCCCATCAACGACAGAAGCTGAATAATTAATTTATAAAAATTAGAAAAATTAATTAAATCTTTAGGGAAAAGGAAAAATTAATTAGAAATATTAGAATACTTCTTCATATTTGCAATTAATTTGATAGATACAATGAATTAAATTTTTTTGAAAATTCCTTGTTATTTTGATACATAAAAAGTACCGATGTTCTATAATTTTGCATGCAAATGATACTGAAATTCAAGTAAGACTTTTCATTGATGTTTCAAAGTAAATTAAAGGTTTTTATTTATAACAAAACATGTAAAGTAGACAAAAGTTTTATACTCCTCCGTACTTAATATAGGACCTAATTCTTGAATTGGTTTTGATCCTAAATATAAAGCTCATTTCTCATATTTATCAGTTTTCTCTAAATTACCCTTATAGATACTCTCTCAACTATAATCAAGTAAAAGAAGGAAAGGGGTATTAAGAAAGATGATTATGGTATTTTAGGAATAATGTGTCACTTTTTTCATAATTAACTAACTTACCCAACTTTTTTAATCTAATCAAATTAGTTAAATAGGTCTTATATTAAAAACCGGAGGAGTATTTATTATCAAAGCAAATCATACTACTAATTATTATCGTGTTCAAATATAAATAGTGGCTGAATCAGATAAATAACAAACTAATAAATAAATTAGTTAATTACTCCTTTGATCCTTAATATAAGATTTAATTGAAGAGTTTATATTGGTCCTATAATAATCAAATAGGAGAGTGAGGAAAAATTAAAAAATATGTTTAAAGTATTTTAGAAAAAAACATATCATATTACTTAATTTAATTAACATTCTTAATATACTCAAATTAGTTAATTAGATTTTATATTGAAGACCGGAAGAGTAGTTTTTTTTTTTGGCCAACAGAAAATACTCCTTATCCTAAATATAAGACTCTTATACTCACTATAAGAGTCTTATATTTAAGATGGGAGGAGTGGTTAATTGGATATTATCCAAACCTATATGGGTTTCCCTACACGTGGATTTTTTTAACCTAGTAGATTATAAGAAAATTATTGATATTTGTATATGACTTGTTTTAATAGCTACTACATCGGACATGTCCGTTCTTGTAAATAAGTAGAGTTCATAGTTTGAAACTTCAAAAAGATAAAAATTGATGTGAACGTAGCATGAAAAGAGAATTACATAAATATCAAGGGAGATATTATAAGTAGCAAGACTTAAGCTAACATTACTGATGGGTCCCAATTGCCACTAATCAGTCCCAAATAAAAAAAAAAGTCATCCACTTAGCCTCCTTTTTCCTTGTAGAAAATCCACAACCGATGGCATCTTAATCCAATTCAACCACTAACTCCAACCATCAAAACATGAAATCGATGTGCTGTATTAATTCATTTTGTTCCTTTTTTTTCCCACTAAACCGTATTTTTTTATTAGAAGTAATTCTATTCAAAACATTGTTGAATATTAAATATAAACACTTCTCATAACAAGATTTGAATATTAGTTCATTACATTATGAGAGATTAGTCCTTTTCTGCTAGACTAACCTTTGTTAATAATTCTTTCACATCATCTTTTGCAAGGTCACGAATTACAATAGCTCAGAGAATCTTTTTTTTTTTTTTCAGGTCATTGAAAGAGTAACAAAATCAAAATATCAATATATGAAATATAAAAACTAAAAAAAAAAAATCTCTAGTCATAAGTAATACTACCTCCAGTTCTAATTATAAAAACCAGTTGACTAATTTGAGGAGATTAAAGAAGTAAGTTGAGTTAGTTATTTATCCTAAATAAGTGTTATCTTTTCTAAAATATCCTTACTAATCAAGTATATTAACTAGAACTATCATTATTAAAAGGATTACTTTGAAAAAAAATGTATAAATATAAGAGACAAAGTGGATTGAGAGTCTTATATTTAGGACCAAAATAAAAGTCAAACAGGATCTTATATTAACGACCGAAAATAGTATATATATAGAGAGAGAGAGAAACGCACAAAAAAATCCACACATCTCGCTACGAGTAAAAGGCAAGGAAACAAAATCACATTATAAATTTTAGTCTCGATGAATTTCAACATGCATCACATGAATAACTTATTTTCCTTTGTGTGTAGGGTTTTGATGATCTTATCATGCGGGCTTAAACGGTATCCATCCGATACCTCTCACTTTCTCCTTTTCAGCATATCAAGCAATTCTAGAATTATTTCCCAAATATTGTCAGCTATAGCATAATTAGAAGGATATAGTTTTTCCCTCCTAATTTCTACCAAGCACAAGCCTCTCAAAATGTGTTTGGCAGGTATTAGCATCAGCAAAGGAATGAAATGATATTTGAGGGGAGAAATGGAAGGTTAGTATGAAAGAGATGATATTAATCTTCAGTGTTTGCAAGCGACCTGAGGAAACATATTGGTCGAAGAACTGACATGGACATGCTGCTTAATAAGCTTCACCTAACACATAACATAAACCATGAAGCAGAATGCTTTTTTAGCTAACATAAACCATGAAGCAGAATGCTTTTTTAGCTCTCAAGTTATCCATGACTGGTTTCACATGACACAGTACATCTATACTGAGAAAGCAAGGGATCATAAAAATGGAAAAGGAGGAAAAAAGATAGAAAAATCCTTAACTCTATGTTTTGCCAATAGGTTTAGGGGATCGTAGGGGAAACTGATGGTGATAAGGAGATGCATGAGATCCATGAGGTATAGAAAGGCTCCTCTGCTGCTGCCCATTGCGGGTAAGCAGTGTTCGGCCATTTCGAGTGTTAGGACTGGCACCAAATCGGTCAGCTTGCACTGTCTGAAAATAATATGATGAGCTTGCCATGTCTTTAAGATTTGGCAGAGGCTTTAAAGCTTCTACGACTTCACTCATTAAAGGTCTAGCTTTTGGATCTCTGCTAAGGCAGTGAGCAGCCAATTGGGCAGCTTTTTGAGCTCCTTTTATCGAAAAGTGACCTTCTAACCGAGGATCTATCAACCTATAGAACCTTCTTCTCTCTCCCAGATGTGGCCGAGCCCATTCGACAAGGTTATGTTCACCATTGGGTCGGTTTTTGTCCATAGATCTTCTGCCAGTCAACATCTCAAGAAGAACAACTCCAAAACTGTACACATCACTTTTTGATGTAAGATGACCTGCCACAAAATGAAAAATCTGATTTGAATATCCCGTACAGGGCCAATAGGGAGAGTAACACTTGATATCACCGAACAAAGATCATGAACATTGCACCAAACAAACAGTCTCACATGGAATTGCATTTTTGTAATTTTGTTCTTAAATTTTTGAAAGAATAATAATGTATGGAACAGAACTTCAAAATCTGGTCACGAGAGAAAAACCAAAGAAACGTTTGCGTGTGTTACTTTATGAAGAACAAACCTTGTCAGTTTAGACTCAACAAACTGAACCAAAATTACCTGTCATGACATATTCTGGTGCTGCGTAACCATAAGTTCCCATCACCCGGGTTGATACATGGGTTTTATCACCCTCCGGACCATCTTTGGCAAGTCCAAAATCTGAAAGCTTGGTGTTATATTCCTGGATTGTTACACCGTTAGAAGGATTGAAATAAGGAAAATGATATACTTCTATAGCAGTTTTTGGCACTTACGGCATCCAATAGGATATTGGAAGTTTTAAAATCCCTATATATTACAGGCCGTTCAGCTTCCTCGTGAAGAAAAGCCAGACCCTTTGCAGCCCCAAGTGCAATTTTCATTCTAATGGACCATGGAAGCGGCAGAGATCCTACATCCAACAAGGATATAATCCCACAAAAGTGTCATCAAAAAGCAAAAGTTTTAAATTCAAGTCCACAGTCTACCCATGTTGGTTCTAATTTCTACATATTATTCTGACACTAATGTTAATCTTACTAGAATCTACAATCCATATTATTAAAATTATTCACAAACTATCATAAACATGGAAAAATTTTGATTTTCTCGTCAAGATGGTTATCTGATTTTACCTTTTTCTATGGTCTTTTCTACTTTCTTTGGGGACATTCGTATTGAAGCCATGCTTGGCACATCTCCAAGCCACGCATGTCATGTGTCCAAGCCAACAAATATACATATATATATATATTTTTTTTTTCAATTTTAGGCCGCTTTGTGCATGTATTGGGCACATTGTAACAATGATTGTGATAGAAGTTGGACATACAACACACATGGAAGTGTGAGTCCACGCTTTTTAGTCCCTAAATGAGTAGGTCACAAGACTAAGCCACATCGTATAAATAAAAGACATGATGAAACTTCTTCACATGAAATTGAAATGAAAAAAGATTCATAAGTCAGGACACTATTTTCCGCCAATACTAGTTTGTACTGCTAAGGCACCATGTTTTAACAAGAGTTGTCCACCAGAATTCTAAATTTAGAGTGGCATTGGCAACCTTTTAAGGCGCACTTGTGCTCCAACTATGACTAGATGAAAATTTGAGGAAATACATTAGACAGAAAGAAAAAACAAATACTTACTCCGAAATAAGTGGTTCTCCAGGCTTCCCCGAGGCATGAATTCATAAACCAGCAACCTTTGATCATCTTCAATGCAGTAGCCTATAAGTTTAACGAGGTTGGGATGAATTAGATCACCAAGAAAACTTACTTCGGCCTGTCACACAACACAAACGAGAAAAATTATCAGAAAAAGGCTAAAATAGAATGCACTAAGAAATAAAAAAAGACCAGATTGTACAAAATTCATAAGATAAAACACACTATCAAAGGTACGAACCAGCCATTCTTTATGACCCTGGAGCCCATCATGATTGAGGGTTTTTACAGCAACTGTGAGCCCTGTGCCAGGTTTCACGGGTGCAGTTCCGTTTTCTTCAATCCATCCCTTGAATACACAACCAAACCCACCTTCACCAAGAAGACTCTCAGGCCGGAAGTTTCTTGTTGCCAGCTTAAGATCATTGAATGAGAACTTTCGGAGCCTGGAAGCAACTCTAAGCTCCTCTTCAAGTTTGGAGGTGGATGAATTACTTTCTGCGTTACTTGTGGTTGTAGAAGAGACTACTGGAGCTGTTGGTTGATCTCTACTTGTACCATTAGTTGATTTACTTTCAGCTAATGAAGGGCCAAGCAAGGAGACAGGCTAAAAAATCAGAACCTAAAACAGCAGTAACTTCATGCAATATTAAGCTTAAACAAGATGAGAGGAAATTCATCGTTTTAAGATGAACATTACATCAAAAGGAACAAAGAAATACGAAAAGCCTATGAAAATACACCCCCTGTGAAATAATTGTCAAGAGACAAGCCTTTTGGGTTGCATTTCATACAAGTGATACAATTTGATGGCCATAAGTCTACTGAGAATGTTATATAATTCATGAATTTACCCCCCACCCAATAAGTTCCCAAAAAAAAAAAAGAAAAAAAAAACTTTAACCTATTGACTCTCATATGCGACCTGGAAGTTGGTTTTTGAGATTGGTGGTATGCAACTGTTTTTCTTTTATTGGTTTGCATGCTAGCCATCTTGTTAGCATGCTTTAAGGACTTATGATTGGCATATTTGAGGACTTAGACACCTTTTGGGGCATGTTAGCCACAGTTTTGTTGTATATGGGCATGTACTCGTTGCATATGATAATTTATCATGATTTTACAAGTGACTTATAAAGCATTGTATTTAATTACATGTGTACATCCAATTGGTTTGAGTTTTGAACTTTGAATTGTATTTCCTCAGTTACTGAGATACACATCTCACCCTCAATGTTTCCCATTTTTCCTAGCGAAGGCACTAGTAGCAACAAGGAGAAGGAGATTGAGCAATAACTTCCTCATCTTGCTCCCAAGGAACTTTTGGGGAACGCATAACTAGATAAACTTATCATACAACATTGCTTTAGATTGTCGCCCAGCGTAATGGAAGTAATTATATGACTTTTGATTACAATGCATGTGTTTTGAGGTTGGTGGGCCATCCTTTCCCAATTCGTTAATTAACTATGCCATGAATGTGTACAGGGTGAGAAGATCATATACCACTCCCAATGTATTAGTTCATGATTCATGACTTGATCATGTATTTGTTGATAAGCTGGGAGCTTTTAGTTTGGTTATGATTGTATAAATGCATTAGTTGCATGTTACTGGTTGTTATCATGCGTTTGGTCTTTGGAAGACTAGGAACCAAGAAGGTCAAATTTCGATTGGATGACCTTTGGTTTTGTACGAGAGCTTGTCCTAATTCTCTATGGTCATTTTACTTTGGTCAAAAGGTCACTTGAGGATTTGTAATTGGTTTGGGTCATTTTGAGCCTATTTGGAAAGGTTGAAGTGTCAAAAGTACCACTTTTGGGGCTGTGTCCTGAAAGTCTCGAATGTTATTGGATTGATCTCAAGTTGATCCCCTTAGTTAGATCTCATCCCAAGCTTCATCTGAAAGTTTGAACCTCGTGATTTGAAAATCCGTAATCCCAAGATATGGGCTCCAAAAGTTTACCACTCTTATCAGCCAATCTAGTTCTGCGGCAGAGTGGCTCGCCATGGCAAAGCTGCAGGTCAGCATGACAAAGGGTCACTTTTCCCCTTGTGTTGTGTTTTGTGTCCTTTGGACCATGTTTCTCTAACGGGTTGTCCCTTGGGCAGTTCCTAAAGCATGCTTTGATCATTTTGGGCCTATAGATGTTTTTAGAATATTCAAAATATTCCTATTTTTTTTCCTAAACCATGATTGTATGACTAATTAAACCTCTCTTCACATAATAATCTCGTTTAAAATGTAAGGGTGTTACAGTTTTAGTTTCAAATCCCCACCCACAGCAGTTTCTCACCCAGACCAATCTATATATGCATATGCATATTATTCTGTACACCGTAGGAAGTAGAAAAGTAAATGAAATTTTTATTTCACGGGATAACCTACTCTGTATGTTCACAGGCAACCCCTTGAAAGGGGCCAGGGCAAAATTTACCAAGTACACTTGTTTACAACATCATTTGTTAACCATTTGACATTTTGAAGGGTAATTTAAGATTGAATTGCCGGTTAAATCAGTAAATTCGCACTGGAAGGTCGAGAAAGATTTTTTTCGCCCCCCAATGTGAACGATCATATGCTCTGAGAAAATACTTCAAATCATTCTACTCTGACTAAGGAAGGGAACAATTTAAACATACAGCAAAAAATGCATAGAAGCTATCATATGAACAACATTTTTCTAAGGAAGACAGAAGTTACCGTAATGAGTGCTGATGCTGCTGACTGAGCTATCAACCTTGGATCTCGAAGAAATGCAACTGCCAATGAACCTCAGCCCAGCCCAACACCCGATTTCTTCCTCTTCCACAACGCCTTCATCTTTCTTCTTCTTCTTCTTCCCCTTTGATTTGCTGACATCCCAAGACTCCACCTTACCATTATCAGCACCCAACCCCATCTCTTGAAAACCCTGAGGACTTAATCTCAGATATCATCAAAAGCCCCCGTACACCGAACACCACCCCCTCCAATGCCCCCCCTCCCAGCACACTAAGCAGCAAAGAAGCGTCAGCCGCCAAGCCCAGATGATAAATTCCCCCAGTAAAACCTAGAAATTACAACTTTACTCCTCCAAACTCCACGAAACACAGTAATCAAAACAAAAACCAGTGAGTTAAACCTAGAAGGAAAACGAAGATAGCAGATCACGTGGAGTAAATCAGTATCCAACCCCCCCCCCAAAGGGTCTTCTGACCCCTCGATTGATCGGCCTGTAGGAGCTGAAGGGAGGAGTGTCAGCTCTGCCCAGAAGAACACGGCACCGGACTTGAACTAAGTACAGAAGTAGCCTCTCTGCTCAAAGACCCAGAAATCTCAGGGACTACCTTCTCCTCTCCGAAGCTCACCAGTAGAATACAATGCTCCAGAAAAAACCAAAATACAGATGTACTGTAACCTTTCCCATTTATCGATTATCTCTCATTCTCCCCCCCCCCCTCTTTGTTAATCATTTATTATTTTCCTTTGATCGAATCAAAAACCAGAAAGAAGAGTTTTTATCATGGGCACAGCATTTAGAAGAAGACGGGTGTAGGACTTTGGGCTGCCGGGTGACCGTACAGGCTCGGCATCAGAGAGAATAAGGAGCGATGACTGGCCAAAGAAAAAAAAAAAAAAAAAGGAGCGAATAAGGAGGAATGGGCAGTTCGGGCAGCCGGATGGGAGGCAGTCGGTCAGTTCGGGGAGGAGAGAGAACGGTAAAGCTGGGTGGGACCCACCAAGGATGGTGACGTGTCTGCCTTGGGCGAGCGAAGGGGAAGCTCACTCGCGCGTCAGGTTGATATCAGCGGGGGCCTGCCTCATACGTATAAGTATAATAACTCACTGCGCATTAAAAAATCAAAAAAATAAAAAAAAATAAACGAAAAATTCTTGCTGTTCAGTCATTCCTTTTTTCATAAATTGTCCGATGAACCCTCCGACATTTGAAATTATGAATTTTGCGCCCCAAAGGTGGGAGCAAGATGCTGGCCACCGTTCTGCTTTTTCATGCCTATTGCTTGTCTCAAATGTAGGCGGCAACTGGAAAGCATATATGGATAGGAAAGTAATAGAGAACCACCTGGCTTCTTTTCCTTAGATTCTTCTCTTTTTTCCCCCTTATTCTGCTTTTCTTTCATCCTCCTCCTTTTTTTCACTGTCCACTGTAATGACCAGCTCCAACCAGTTTGGTTTCATGAAAACAGCTAGAGGTTGCAACTTAACTTCAATTTTTGGTTCAAAAGCCGGTTCTAAATGGCTCAACACAGTCCAACTCTTCAAAAGATTGGTTCCAAAACACACGAGCCAAGTTGCTATGTTTTCTGGTCATCAAATGAACCAATCCAACTTAGGTTTGGAATATGACAAGAGACAACTCATTTTATGTTAATAAGGACATTCAAATCTCAAAAATTAATTTAATGACAGTTAAACTCTAATTAATTTTGTTAAATAAATGAGTTGCAAATATAAGAGAGTTATAAATCATAATTACAAATGAGGAATTTAAATTTCATGGCGTTGTTCGATCCACGTAGTTGACTCCATTTAGTAGGATGAGTTTTGTTGTTGTTATATTCCCAATTGTTATTTATATTGCATAAAAGCATGCACCATCAAGATCTCCATCTCCTTCTCATATCCTTTTGGCCTAATCATTTATTTATTTTGTTTGAATCTAAATATACGATGTGTTAGGCGAGTGGTAGATGCAATGCAATAATATTATGTCTCATTAATTTAAATTTTAATTTGCAAGCTTTTAATCGATTCATGAAGTTCATGATATTTGTGCTGCTAAACAAATTAGTTATCGGCATAAAATTTGAATCAAATATAGGAACTAACGTTCAACTAAATTTTAACCGAGGAAGTACAAAGGGAATAGTGTCGGTTTTGTTGGGGAAAAAAACAATCTTTTATTTTAGTGGCCATAGTTGCAAAAGTATTCAATAATTCTACCATCCAGCAAAAAAAAAAGGAAGTAATTAATAATTTCGTTCGGAAGTAAGCTTTTGATTATACTTCAATAATTGGTCTGTAGTAGTACTCCTCCGATCCTTAATATAAGATCCATTTAACTAATTTGATTAGATTAAGAAAGTTAGGTAAGTTAGTTAATTATAAGAAATGTGACACGTTTTTCCTAAAACACCATAACCATCTTTCTTAATATCCCTTCTTCCTCTTCTACTTGATTATGGTTGAGGAAGTATCCATAGGAATAATTTAGAGAAAATCGATAAATATAAGAAATGAGTCTTATATTTAGGACCAAAACCAACTCAATAATTAGGTCATATATTAAGGACCGGAAGAGTATATGATAACTTGCTGTCCCTTTTGTTTTGTGATCATTTTCATGGCTGTGTGACTGGAACAGAACGTAATCCATTCCATAATTTAAGCCTCCAAGAATAATATAACCAGAAAGTTAATGTGTGAACGCTTTCGCTACTTTATATGACCTCTTATAATGCATGTTACTTTTTAATGTTATTATGAAAGGAAAGATTAATAAACAAACCAATTGATAATTGTCAATCATTTATGTTAGAAACAAAAAACTACACATATCAAACTTCATCAAATTGTCAGTTTGAATACTGAAAATCTGATCATTATACCATTTTCAATCTTCGATGTCGATATGAAAGTTGTTGCGTCTGATGCCTCGACAACATTAGTATTAGAAATTCAGATATCAATTATTTTTTAATAATTATCCATTAATTAAAACGTTTAATACTTTTCTTTTGTTTTTCTGATACGATTAATTTTTACCTTTTAGTAAGATACAAGAGGTATATTCCGCCAACAATGGAGTAATTTTCTTCCGGCACTGAGTCAAAAGAAAAATCTCTCCCAACCAATAAATTTCTGCGTACGGCTGAAATTCAGATTTCCAATCATTTGCTACCTAATTGGATGATTCTTTTAAATTTCAATAATCATCAATTTATTTTTTTAATAAATAATCCTCAATATTCTGCGCGACAGTTAACATATTCCTTTCAGATCTTGAAGATGTATCATTTGCTGTACATCAAATTGATGCAAGATCTTAAACTACTTTTTAAAAGAATCAAAACCAAGCCTCTGTTTATAGAAATTGTCCCAATTAACTCCTCTCCTTTTTGTCAATAGCTAAACGAAACAAATGCGGCTCAGAAACTCGGAACCGGACAAGATGAAAGAAGCCAAGTCAATATGGCTATTCCAACTTCCCATAGACATTTTCAATGCAAGACTGAGATATGCAAAAGCCTAACAGTTATATTTGAAATAATTCGAAAGCCACTTCTCCAGGCAAATGGCCATGCAAACCTGAACGTGGCCTCATGTATAAAACTGCACACTGTTTGCTAAAGCATGCTTCAGTTCCATATCTATTTCACTTCGAGGTTTGAGAACCAGTAAGTTATAGACTTAAGGGCTAAAAAGCTACCTAAAGGCTTAAAGTTAGATGATTACTAGTCAACAGTGATCCTTGCTTTTCGTCTGAAGTGTCACATGAGCAAAATCTTCGTAAAGGTATAATTATTATTCTTCTCCTCGAACGGTTATATGTGTAACAATCATATATTTCAACTTCCAAGCTCGTGGTCTAAACTCAAGTGTTTACACTACAAAAGTGGGGTTCTGTACTTGAGAACAAATTGACATGCCAAGTGAAACACAACAATGCCGCATGCAAGATATATACCTCCACGCCGAGCTATTGAGAAAGCCACGATGCATGCAAAATGCAATCATCTATTCAAGCATTTTAAATGATCCCAGTGGAAATGCTGGAAGTAGCATTAATCTTCAGTGAGCATTCAGGGATATAGGTAACACCTGTTAGGCCACAACCAGATAGATACTATGATTGGCATTTTCATCATCATACGACAATACGGAAAGCATAAAAACCGTTCCTGATAAGTGACGAGGCTACATAATAAAAGGGACGCCAGAATTGCTTTTCTAGGTAATTACGCATATAATTACCCAGAATTATCATTTTCGATATAAATGAATAGTTCCAGGGATTACAAGACATATGACAGACTCGGATATCACCCAAAAAAAAAAAAAAGACTCGAAGAAAATTTTCAAGGAAATGACAAAAGTAGCCCGCAACTGAAAAATGAATATTGATGTCTTTTAAGTGGAACGTGATCGTCATTCTCGCAAGGGAATTTTCAAAACAATTTTGATAATTTTAAAGGGACGGAACAAATCTTTAAGTAGGCGTTCATCTTCCCATAGAAGAGCATTGACAAAAAATTTCTACGGACATGGCCTCAAGCATTTAGTTGAGGAAAAAAAATATGGTTAAACAGATAGGCCCCATACCTTTCTCCTTGATATCAATTTGTAAAGTGTCGAGTGTAATGATTCCATCAGTCAACGGAAGTAGCTCGAGCTTGATGGTGGCAGTAGATTGAGAAGGAACACATCTGACATGATCCCACAAATGATTGGAATCAGCTTTTAGTTTAAACATACTCCCTCCTCTCTTTTTTTTAATAAGAAACAATCTCTCTCATAGTAGCATTTTTAAATATAAGAAACAAATCCTCTTTGTCTGATATTTTAAACTAATCTTTTCACTCTTACCCCATTAAATATATTGCACTTATTATCTCTCTGCAATAAATTTTCACTCATTATCTCTCGTGTATTCTCTTTACAAGTATATAATTGGAAAATATATATATATCTTACACATGCTTTTAACTAACATTTTGTTCACCCAAAAAAAAAGAAATTTAACTAACATTTTGAATTGCATTATTTTAGTAGTTGTTTCTTATAGTAAAAAACCAAGGGAGTAATAAACAAAAATAAAAATAATGATAAGATATGTTACCCCAGTGGAACTCTACTCTGTAGCCATAGATGAGTACAACTCATGCCAGAACTTTGAATGACATCATCGCCAATGGAAATTGTCCGGGGCCCATCATTACTTTGTTTATGATTTTCTTTTACTATAGAAGTGAACCCTTGACCCTGGATAGTACCAGCATGCCTCTCACCATTTATTCTTCCTAAACACTCTGCAAAACCAATAAAAGGACTCATTGGTGTATCAGGTGAACTCAGAGACACTACTGAAGGGGGTGATGTAAATGAGGCTGGAGCAAGGACGGTCAAAGTAAGATCCTCAGATGTCAAATTTGATGCTCGAAGAGTCAAGACCTGACAAAATTGAACCCATGAGGTTAGAACTCAATGTTGCCCACCAAGGTACAAAAGAAGTTAAAAATACAACATCACAACCAGATCTGGGAATATTTCCAGACCTGGAGTGACCCTCCTCTTAATGAAGAAATATTCAAGATCTGACAATTTTGATTCCTTGATTTGAGCAACAGTCATATAATCTATTCCTAGCCATTGGGCAATTTATGCCCAGGATTTGAGATCCTTTCATGTATTTCATTCCCTGTTTTGGAGATTTACGTTCAAAAGTACTCATCATTTAAGCCCACATATAATTCAAGCAAACGTGGCATCTCATACAAAGCCATTAATTCGAAACCTGAGTTGGCCCGAAAAAGGGCTCATACAGACCTGCACAGGAAGTT